TCACTCAAAATACCATCCCTGTCCCACTTTGTCCAAGTGTCTGCGGCCCTGTCCAATTTGCAGGGTTTGTTGGCGCTCGCACCCTCAGCCAACAAGTAAAATAGATAAGCATAATAGGCAAATCAATGTTTAAGGATGTTGAAGACATTGAAAGATCCTGAAGGTCCCTGAAGGTTGAAATGAGCAGCTACTGCAATATTTTACATGCAATGATGACAAAAGTGTGTGTGACTGTCTGTGCTAAATGTTTGATTTTTTTTTACGCATCCAAAAATGATTGGAGATGATGGGACTGCCGCCCAAGGAACACAGAAGGTGACCTTGCCTTCGGTTTGAACTGCGACTCTGTCGGGCGCCTTGGGATTGATTGCCCCATTGGAACAAGACGAGATGCAGTCCAATGATATCCAATGGGTTTGATGCTTCGGTTTGATGCTTGGGTTTGATACGTGAGTCAGGGTGTGATACTTGCTTTGAACAAGACGAGGCGCAATCCAATGCGGACCTCCCAGTCATACGCAGCTCGTCTCTCGGGGTCCGTCAACACCTGCTTCGCCAGGTTCAGTTCTCCTGAAGTGGCGCCAATCCCTGATTATTGATCCCCGGTCCATGATACCCAGCGGCATTTACAAACCATTTTAGAAAGAAAATAGGTGCTATAGAATGCATAACCAGGAGTGTTTTCTCTATAAAATGTAAAACCAAGGTTTTATATGAAATGACCCCTTTCTATCCATGAAATGACCCCTTATTCCACTATATAGTGTATGTGGAACCCTTATTTTCTAACCATTCCTCATCAATATTTGAATCCTCTATGAACTTAGAAGCTAGGCATTAGACTCACCAAGCATGTGCCCCAAACAAAGATACAACCATCTTCCAGCATTTAGCCCTCTATTGACTGACCTTAAAAACGAACCAAAAACGCATTGCAGAGAGACAAAGGTTGATTTTTGGCTACATGGATCCCAAGCTCACCCACTTACACATGACATATTTCCAATTATTTGCACTTTAGCACCGAGCCTCTGGTCACTTCTGCAGCCTCTGGCGCTGCAGTCTTGTCGGGATGCCATTCAAGCAGCTGGCTTCTCCACGCTTTGACCTCAGAAGGTCCATTACGTCCAATACCTTCGTGGTGAAGGGACAACAACTTTTTTTGGAAATCTCAAACCTAGCAATCAAGCGATATCAAGCGTATCATTGTAGACCCGTACCTAATGAAGATATACCTTTTACCTCTCTTTTTTTCCATCGACCTGTTCCTTCCTCCATCCAGAATCATTCAGCATCATTCAGCCATCCATCATCATCATCCATCCATCCGCTTTTATGGCCGAGCGGCGATCTCCGCTCTTGTCGCCGTTTCCGGCACCATCAGCAGCTTGTAGAACGCCATGGCTGCCAGCGAGGCACGGTTGGTGCTGTAGTTGAGCTGCTGCTGTTGTTGTTGCTGTTGCTTTTGCTGTTGCTGTTGTTGTTGTTGTTGTCGTCATCGTTTCATCGTGTCATCGTGTCATCGTGTCATCGTGTCCAGGTTCGCGACGCCACCAGTCGTGAAGGCCGCTGCCGTATCGGCAGATTGCCTTGATTGAATATGGTTTTGGATGGTTTTCAATGGTTTCCAAGAAGTCTGACATAGATATGAACGGATTCGACACCTGTTTCATGTTTTAATCGTGCCGGTCAGCCCCGAGGCCATCAGTTTCATCTCGACATTCATCATGCAACATGTTTCAATCCCTTTTCCAACATATGGAGGTTTCCTGAAATGGGGGTGCACCTAAATCATCCATGTTCAAAAGATATTCCATTATTATAAACCATACAGTTTTTTTGGGGTACCTCCATTCATGGAAACACCCATATCATATCTTTCCCAGTTGGATAGGGTCCCCGGTCCTGAACGGCGCTGGGACAAGATCCGACACTTCCAAAGAGGTCGGCCGACACTTCCAAAGTGCCGATCAAAAGTTGCGCCGAAACTTTGCGCAGCTGCTTGTTACAAGATGTCATGAATCAACAACAGAAGGTCCATCCTTTGTGTGAATACAGACCCCACATATACATATATGGGTATCGTTCAAGCATGGGCCCCAATGATAAATCCACACATTAACAGTATTGGTGAATATTGATGATATAATTTAGCCATTCCCCAAAAAGCATATATATATATATGGTAGATGCACTATTCACATACGCTGTATTAATTTCCCTAGTGTTGTACTTACAGAAGATATATGTCAGGAAAAAAGTCAGCCTCTATATTTTTGCAGGCCAATCGCAATCTTAGAGGGCGGGCTGGGCAGAGAAGAACGATCATACACGTGGCAAAACACTTAAGGAGAAGAGATTTTAGGCAAATCTCAAAATTCACGATCGATCACGCTCATTTGGGGCCAAGGGACTTTCAGGTACAAATGGCTAAATGATCCACGTACAAGATAATCTTGTACAAACGATGGTCTAGGAATCATCTAATACTCGACTGGGCATGGCTACATAAAATTTACGGATGATGTGGATCCGATGATCTGAAGCACAACATCACAGACTCAAAGCGCTCTTCCGGTTTTTCCCAGGTTTATGCCAGAAACTGCGATGCAAACTCTCTGTCAAAATATGTTGCAGCCCAGTACTTCTACAGCACTCAGGTCTAGATCAGCACACCGCCGCGGATGCTTCGCAGGCTTTGTGAAACTGTTCTCACGGGTCAATGCAGTTCACCAACGATGGCAATGGCACCAAATCTGCGCAGGTACGGCGCTCAAATGAGCATGCATATCTGCACGCACACCGCAACTTATTGCTGCCCAGCTGCAAGAAAGCAGGTTCAAGCTGTACAAAATCTGCTCCATGTGCTCCGCCAATTTGGCATCGAGGAACTCGTTGATGCCATGCATCAATGCCTCGGCCGCCGGTCTGAGCAGCAAGCGGTGTGCTAGACATGTGCCACCATGCTACCATACTTTCTAATGGAGCGGCCAAAGAACGCATTCAAGAAGAGTACCGACAGTGCCGGGTGATCTTGCCCGTGAAAGGAATCGCGGGGCCAGGAGACAGACTGCCCGGAGGCAATTACGTTGTCCGGCTTGGCACATCGCCGAGGCGTGGTACTTCTCGTGCAGTGGCTCCCGCCTCAAAACAACGTTGGAACGCAAACAAGACATGCATAAACCCCGATCTGAGCTCGCTGCTCTTTTTTTGTCATGTCGATGACCGATACCAGCCACGAATGCAGCAAGTCCATCTCCTGACCAGGAAAGGGTTGAACAAACTGTGGACTTGTGTCATTCTCCGATTGACAGCTCCGGCCTCTTCGGCCGCGATCATGTAGATCTCGTGCTTGATGCCAGCGAAGAGGCGTTGAATGGCGCCAATGCGCCTTTGTCCAGTAAGCTCCTGACGTGTGGTTGCCAACATGCTCGAATTATGTGAATAAAATGAAGAAACACCGGCCTTCTCCCATGCCATCAACGTTGACATGGTGGCTTGCGCGGGCGGAAACATGTTTCGAAATGGGCGTTCTTATAAATGTTTTTTTGCGGTGCTATGAATACCTTGAGCCAAGGAGCAAACATGCAAAGTGACTGCCGTGATAAATGTTTGTATCATGGGTAACAGCGTGAACAAGGATCCGATGATCTGAAGCACAACATCACAGACTCAAAGCGCTCTTCCGGTTTTTTTCCCAGTCAGGTCCGGTTCGGCGCAAAACAAGCAAACGGCGTGCGGGATGCTGGTCTGCCCTTCGCAGAAGTCACATGGAGCCACGGGTTTCTGCCAGAAACTGCGATGCAAACTCTCTGTCAAAATATGTTGCAGCCCAGTACTTCTGCAGCACTCAGGTCTAGATCAGCACACCGCCGCGGATGCTTCGCAGGCTTTGTGAAACTGTTCCCACGGGTCAATGCAGTTCACCAACGATGGCAATGGCACCAAATCTGCGCAGGGCCTTCTGAATCCTTCTGATAGTTTAGGTGAAAAACTTCCAATCACACAAGACATTTTGGTCCATTGGGCGCAAACTAGATTCTTGGGAGTTGGTCCTCCGGAATTCATACGGACATTCCTTCAAGACTCGTGAGCAGTGCCGATCAAAAGTTGAGCAGTGCCGATCAAAAGTGCCGATATATATATATATATATATGTATAGTCTAATGGCGCCTAATGTATTGACAGGGGGGCCTCCCCCCCCTCCGTTATTCATTCTTGGATGGTAGGGATCACAATATAATATATATATATATATATATGTAATAATATATATTATATATTACATTATAATGTATAATATAGCATGTGTATATATATATACAAATATTATAATGTAAAAATATATATATGTCTAATTATACATAATATCTAGATATATATGTATTAAAATAAACAATACAATAGACTATATATATATCATAATGTATAATATTACATATATATATATACGTATGATAATATATAATATTATCGAATATGTATACTGTAATATACATAATATGTATATATATATTAAAGCATGATGTTTAATACAATGTGTATATATATATGTGCATTATCAAGTAATATATATATATAATATCTATAATATACATATATGTGTATATATATATTATAATGCATGTATATATATATACATATATTAATGTAAAATAATATATGTATATATAATATGCATAATATATAATATATATATATATAATAATATAAGTTAATATCATTTATAGTACAATGTAAAAATATAATGTAAATAGATATATAATGCATAATATACAAATATATATATATAATGAAAGTCTACTCTGAGACAATCCGTTCTATAAAATGCCAGGCCCAACCCCACCCAAAACAAAGAATGATATCCAAGGATGATAAATATATATAATATACATATATATATATCATCTTGTATCATCTTATATTATCCAGTCTGTCCCTACAAGTCATCCTATTGCCTGGGATCCAGGCCCGTCTCCCCCGAGACAACGCCAAGCGACAGGGGCAGCTGTCGCGTGGCAATGCGCAGGAGGGGCAGCAGCTCATGTGGCTTGGGGTTGGGCCACCCTGCGCCCCCTGGCGCGGCGTACCCCAATGGGTTTGTTTACCATTGGGACATCATCATTTTTATCCGAATTTCCCCGATGAAAATGGGCACTTTAAGGGAATATAATTTACAGATGTGTAATCATGTATAATTATACATGTATACATGTATATGCCCCCATTTTCAGACTAAGCCGTAGGATGCTTTGATGACCCTTGCATGCTGAACTGCAGTTTTAAAATGTTTAGTTTTGCAAATGATGCTGGGCAAACATTTTTTTTGACAGTCCTGGCCCTCTACAAATCAAATCACTATAAAATCGGATTAAATTGCTGGATGCTCTATCTTCGTTGAGCTCATGTTATCATCAAAATTGAGACCTTGGATGAAATTTGTGGATATCCTATTCATCTACTTCAAGATGAACTCCCCAAATCTTTAAAATCTGAATGTTCCAACAGGAACATGTTCCAAAAATCCGCCGGGGCCTCCTCTTCCAAAAATTGACAAAAATTGTAGTTTCAGAGCCAAGCCCTCGCCTCGCACGTCCAGTAGCACGGTGATGCGTTGGAATTCGGAGCCACCTTTGAAGGCAGACGGGTAGTGGGGTAAGCCCAAGAAGAAGCCCAAAAAGATCGAAAAGTAACATCCTATTTCAAAATTCTGATGAATTGAAGTGGTTCTATCTTTTTTTGGGGGGGTCCTCTAAAGATTGTTGATGTCTATCCCCAAATGGAAAAAGAACTTAGCTCCTGGGCTCCCTCCCAACCAAGACTTGCCACATGTTTCATGCTCCAAGGCACTCAGCTGCTCATCGATACTGCAGCAGAGTGCCTGCGCACGCGACACCTATGGGTGAGACACCAGTAAATAACATCAACATCCAATAGCCAGCCTTAGATGCCTTGAGGATGTTGATGCAATCAGTTCCTTGATCAAAATGGCTCAAACATGGTCAAAACTAGTGTTAAAAGGCGTTGTAAAATGATGTAAAATGTGCATCCATCTGGCTTGACTATGATCATCTGGGGAAGTTCCCTGGCTAACTAGCACCCATGGGGCAAAAATCCTGATTCACTGACAGTGCATTCACCAGTTGGTTTACCCAATTAATCCCATTTCCCCTTAGATGGTACCAAAAAATGAAGATACCCACTACCTATACAACCGATGGTTCAGCGGGTGTAGTTTATTAAATTATCATTATAGTTGTGAGGCCGAATGAATAACCCTGAACTGCATCGCCAATCACTCCTGGTTATGTATGTCTGTCTGTCTGTCCGTCTGTATGTCTATCTGTCTGTCTGTCTGTCTATCTACCTATCTACCTATCTGCCTATCTACCTATCTACCTGTCTAATTACAGTACCTACCTACCTACCTACCTACCTACCTACCTATCTACCTATCATCTATCTAATTACAGTTCCTAACTACCTACCTACCCACCTACCTACCCACCTACTATCTATCTATCTGTCTGTCTGTCTGTCTATCTATCTATCTATCTATCTATCTATCTATCTTACCTATCTTATCTATCTTATCTAAATTACCTACCTTATCTATCTTATCTATCTTACCTATCGTATCTATCTTAACTATCTTATCTATCTTATCTATCTTATCTATCTTATCTATCTTACCTATCTTACCTATCTTATCATCTTATATATCTTATCTATCTTATCTATCTTATCTATCGTATCTATCGATCTATCGATCGATCTATCGATCTATCGATCTATCGATCTATCTATCTATCTATCTATCTAATTATCCAATCTATCTAATCTATCTAATCTATCTAATCTATCTAATCTATCTAATCTATCTAAACTATCTAATCTATCTAATCTATCTAATCTATCTAATCTATCCTATCTATCTAATCTATCTAATCTATCCCATCTATCTAATCTACTAATCTACCTAGGCTAGCTAATCTAGTCTAACTAATCTATCTATCTATCTATCTATCTATCTAATTATCCAATCTATCTAATCTATCTAATCTATCTAATCTATCTAATCTATCTGATGTATCTAATCTATCTAATCTATCTAACCTATCTAATCTATCTAATCTATCTAATCTATCCTATCTATCTAATCTATCTAATCTATCCCATCTATCTAATCTATCTAGGCTATCTAATCTAGTCTAACTAATCTATCTATCTATCTATCTATCTATCTTATTATCTTATCTTATTATCTTATCTTATTATCTTATCAATTATCTTATCTATCTTATCTATCTTATCTATCTTATCTATCTTATCTATCTATCTATCTATCTATCTATCTATCTTTCTTATCTATCTATCTATATTCTATCTATATTCTATCTATCTTCTATCGATCTTATCTATCTTATATATATATATTATCTATCTTATCTATTTTAGCTATCTTATCTATCTAATCTATCTTATCTATCTTAAATATCTTATCTATCTTATCTATCTTATCTATCTATCTACCTATCTATCTATCTATCTGTCTGTCTATCTATCTATCAATCTAACTATCTATCCATCCATCCATCCATCCATCTATCTATCTTATCTATCGTATCTATCTTACCTATATTATCTATCTTAACTTTCTTATCTATCTTATCTATCTTATCTATCTTACCTATCTTACCTATCTTATCTATCTTATCTATCTTATCTATCTTATCTATCTTATCTATCTTAGCTATCTTAGCTATCTTAGCTATCTTAGCTATCTTAGCTATCTTAGATATCTTACCTTACCTATCTTACCTATCTCACCTATCTAATCTATCTAATCTATCTAATCTATCTAATCTATCTAATCTATCTAATCGATCTAATCGATCTAATCTGTCTATCTATCTATCTATCTGTCTGTCTGTCTGTCTGTCTGTCTGTCTATCTGTCTATCTGTCTATCTGTCTATCTGTCTATCTGTCTATCTGTCTATCTGTCTACCGATCTATCGATCTATCTATCTTATCTGTCTATCTATCTATCAATCTATCTATCTGTCTGTATGTCTGTCTGTCTGTCTGTCTGTCTGTCTATCTGTCTATCTGTCTATCTGTCTATCTGTCTATCTGTCTATCTATCTGTCTATCTGTCTATCTGTCTATCTGTCTATCTGTCTATCTGTCTATCTATCTATCAATCTATCTTATCTTATCTTATCTATATCTATATCTATATCTTTATCTATATCTATATCTATATCTATATCTATCCATCTATCTATCTATCTATCCGCTATACTGTACTCCTTGGGCTATACTCCTTGCTTGCTGTGTCGATATCCCGATGTCTTCTCATCACCCAAGTTTCGTTGGATCCCTATGGCTTTGGTTGATGGTTTCACCACATCACTAGCTGCGATGATGACCCCAGGTATGCCCATGAATCCTCGAAACTACCATTGATTTATCTTGCTTTCATAGTCATCTTATCCAATTTTTGCTGCTTTTAATGCCTCTTTTCTGCGTGCCTTGAAGTACAGCTCTGGTGCCTTCTTGCTGTCCGTACGGGCGATTTGCCTCGTGGGGAGGGATGATGGGTTGAAAGGGAGGGAATTCATGGGATTTCATGGGGTCAAAATGGGGTCAAAATGGAATTTAATGGCGGTCCAAAGATCCTAAACAGTGATAGCTGTGGAAGCCATGGACACCTTACTTCGACCATTTGCTCTTCTTTGTGCTGTGAAAGATGGTGATTTTCAATAATTAGCTATGTTGGTTTACCAGAGGGTACTTGATGGTACCAGTATTTTTTTAAGGGAAGACTGGTACATCTGGTACATTTGGGTGTATGTGTGTGTGTGTGGGTGTGAAAATGGTGGGCATGCAAACATTGCGACGTTAATAGGGAAGGTCATGATAAATCATTCATTTAGGGGTACCGACGGGTACCGGATACCCCATTTTCAATCAAACCAATATTATGGTTTGATGGCAACATCATTGTATGCCAAAAGGTTTCCACTCAATCAGTCCATTGAATGAACGTTCGTATGTAATATAGATAGGATGCATCGTGGAACTGGTGGTGATGGTGATGATGGTGATCATGATCATGACCATGATGCATTGAGTTAAGGCAATACGAAAATTTTGTCGCAAGAAGCCCCGAGTTGTGCTGGCCAGGACCCTCATCCTCTGATGTTTGGCGGATTTTTGGCCGATGAAGATGAACCTCCCCTTCCAAAACAGCCAAACAAATGAAGTTCGTCCCAAAAGAGTCAACTCCGCTCCATCTCCCAGATCTTTCGATCGACAGGGCGCAGGAGCAGCACCGGGGACTCATCCTTGGCCAAGAAACGGCCCTTGCTGATCCACTGCGGGACTTGCTCTCGTGCCTTGATCAAAAGATATCAAAAGTGGAGGCCGCTGACCAGCCAACATTGGGATTTGACTATCCAAGCCCTCCAATGATTGAACCAATGCATAGTGAATTCCGGTGTATCGGAGAGTCTGGAATGAACATCCCCGATTCATTGCCACATATTGCCACTTGTCATCGGAAAAATTGGTAGTCTCAGGCAAACATGAAATGGACCGATATTCACTGAGCTACCCTCTGGTAAACTAACATAGCTATGGAAAATCACCATTTTTAATGTGTAAATCCACTATAAATGGCAATTTTCAATAGCTATGTTAGTTTACCAGAGGGTAATGTTCATGTGGCCAATACTTTGTGAATATCACCGGCGCACATGGAATGCTATGGATGTGGCTCCCCGATTCTACCTGACAATGGGATGGAAAATTACCAGCAAGCCTGGAGGAATACGACGACACCTTTGGAAAAACATTCTGGCTGACTACTAATAGAGGGATCCAAGTGCACTGCCCAATTTTGAGGGGAAAATCCGGGGAAATTGGTTTGCAGTGTGAGGGATGTGATAAGGGTTTTTTTCCCCACTTTGCTCAGCTGCTTCTACATTTATCATCTACATCTGCTGCAAACAACCACCAAAGACTTCCAAAGGTCAATCGGTCAGTGGTGTGTCAGGTTTCAAACCAGAGTCATCCAGAGTGGTGTAATGCATCTAAGAAAACTCAAGTCCAAGTATGTCCAAGTCATTTTAAGTCACACTATTGAAAAGTCCTAGTTGCCTTTAAGCCTGGCATATGTTTCACATCGCCATCCCAGGGTCCCATGGTGTTTTTCAGGGGTGGAGTCATCGGCACCTGAAAGAGCTGTTTTGGTTCACTCATCTCCCGCCACTTGCGGTGATCTTCATAAGCAGCCACAGCCTGGGAAACTTCACGATGATTTGCTGTTTCAACAAACTCATTGGATTGGTTTTGTTGGGAAAATCTTAACCGGAAACCATGGTTTTTACCATGAAATATGGGGCTTTCCTGTAAATTTTCCCTTAAACCAATCCAATGACAAACAGGTGTTCTGGTCGAATGATTTTCGATATGTTTTTTTTACATTTTATCTGGTTGGTGGTTGAGGCACCATCTTGAAAAATATGAGTTCGTCAGTTGGGATGAATTCCCTATCTATGGAAAGTCATTAAAATTCAATGGTTCCAAACCACCAACCTAACATAACTATGGAAAATCACCATTTTTAATGGGTAAATCCACTCTCTCTCGCAATTTTCTATTAAATCATGGCTAACTTGAGCCCGCTCAACAAACTCCAGCAACAGGTCCCAGGCTTCTCCCACAGCGTCAAAACGGCACCAACCAGTCACACATCACTAATCAAATCACTGGATGAAGGTCAGTGGCAAAAACTTACAGCTACCATCTGGTTATGACCAACAGTTTGCCATGGAAAGATCCAGCATTTTTAAGAACGGTCAACCATCAATTTCGATTAGGGCCATGGCTTAACCATGGCGAACTGTTAGTCATCACCAGAGGGTATCATTTTGCCCCCTTTTTTGTAGCAGTCAGATCAACTGATTGGAGATTGTCAAAACAAAGTTGTCAACAACTCCGCTGACTGAAGTAGCAGGCCGATGCTGACTGAAACGCCTTTTTGATCTGTACCCAGCATGAATCCCTTCTCTCATCAACAACACCCCAAAAGGAAGTTTTTTTGACATTATATATTTGAAGTCCCATGACGTCCCATGTTTGTATATGGGATTGCTTGTCCCATGTACATCCCTGCTCTGCTTCATGAAGAAAAAACATCTTGAGAAAATCATGAAAAATCATGTAGGACATCCTTTTATCATGTGTACCCTCAAACAGATCAAACAAGGAAAATATGCAAATCCACCCCCATTTATATATCCATGTAATGTGGGTAAAACAATAATAAACCATCCCCCAGTCATCACCATAAATAGGTATAAACCATTCCCAGTCATGGGTGGTTTATGATTGTTTTACCCACATTAAAATCCCATTCACTGGGTGGTTTATCATTGTTAAAGATCCCATTGAAACCCTTTAAAATCCAAAAAAAAATAAAATCCCATTAAATCCCATTCAAATCAAAAAAACAATTATATAAAGGGTGTGAAATAGTTTTAGGATTTTTTTTTGAACAGGTTTGGGAATTTTTTTTGGATTTCTTGGCTGGTACCATTTGCCTAGTGTTTGCAACGGTTTGGAACTTGAATTTGTCATTTTGCATGGTATTTGCCACATTTGGGCATGTTCACCTTCCATTTTGCATGGGATCTACTACATGTGGGCATGTTCACCTTCCATTTTGTATGGTATTTGCCACATTTTGGCGTGTTCACCTTCCATTTTGTATGGTATTTGCCACATGTTGGCGTGTTCACCTCCCATTTTGCATGGTATTTGCCACATTTTGGCATGTTCACCTTCCATTTTGCATGGGATGTTCTACATGTGAGCATGTTCACCCAAATATTTACAGATGTGGAAGCTTGGGATTAGATAAAAAGCGGGTGGGGGGGATTGAGGGAGGGCGCTAGCTATCTATCCAGCTAGCTAGCTATCTAGCTATCTAGCTAGCTATCTATCTAGCAAGCTAGCTATCTATCTAGCAAGCTATCTATCTATCTAGCTATCTATTTACCTATCTAGCTAGCTATCTTGCTAGCTATCTATCTACCTATCTAGCTATCAAGCTAACTATCTATCTAGCTATCTAGCTATCTAGCTTTCTATCTATCTAGCTATCTATCTATCTAGCCATCCAGCTGTCTATCCAGCTATCTAGCTATCGAGCTATCTATCTAACTATCTATCTAGCTATCTATCTAGCCATCTATCTATCTAGCTATCTATCTAGCCATCTATCTATCTATCGAGGTATCTAGCTATCTATCTCTCTAGCTATCTATCTATCTAGCTGGCTATCTATCTATCTAGCTATCTATCTACCAAACTATCTATCTATCCAGCTATCTATCTATCTATCTATCTGTCTGTCTATCTATCTATCTATCTATCTATCTATCACATGTAATCCTGTCAGCTTTCCAGAGAAGGTTAGTTCGCAAAAACCAACTAATGTAACTTGGGTTTAAGTTTAAATTAAAAAAAAGCGGGAGGGGGGGATTGGGGGAGGGCGCAGCGCCTCCCCCCAAAGCAGAATGCAAGCACCTCTTCTCACATGTTACGTTGCTAGTTTTCAAGAGAAGGTTGGTCATGTGATACTCAGGGATGTAAATACTGTGCAAAATGCATCTTACATGAAAATCAAGTATTTAAAGCAGGCAAAGCAAAAAAAAAAAAGCAGAGAAGCAAAGAAACAGGAAACGCACAAAAGCAAAACAGCAGAAAGGCAAAGAAGCAGGAAAAGCAGAAAAGCAGAGAAGCAGGAAAAGCAGGAAAAGCAGAGAAGCAAAGAAACAGGAAAAACAGAAAAGCAAAAAAGCAGAAAAGCAGAGAAGCAGAGAAGCAGGAGAAGCAGAAAAGCAAAAAAGCAGAAGCAGAGAAGCAGAGAAGCAGGAGAAGCAGAAAAGCAAAAAAGCAGAAAAGCAGAGAAGCAGGAAAAGCAGGAAAAGCAGGAAAAGCAGGAAAAGCAGGAAAAGCAGGAAAAGCAGGAAAAGCAGGAAAAGCAGGAAAGCAGAGAAGCAGGAAAAGCAGGAAAAGCAGAGAAGCAGGAATCCAAAAATAATTCCTAAACCTGATCAAAAAAAAATTCCCAAAATAATTAGCCCTCCTTATATAAATCCCATTAAGATACCATTTTCAGATCCCATTTGTTGATCCCAACTGCACCAATCCCATCTCTAATCCTCCAAACCGCGGAGATGTCTTCGCCGGGCGTCTGCAGGTGCCTTAGGCCATCCCACGGCGAAGCGGCACAGCTCTTGACGCGGTGCGTCGTGGAAGGCCTTGCGCAGCGCCACATAGCCTGGGGACAGCCCGCGCAAAAAAGCCCTGAGTCATGGGGATATCATGAAAGGAACGGGAATACAGTGGGATATATTCTGTATATCATATCATATCATATCACATATATATATATATATATGTGTGTGTGTATGTATCACATGTATATATGTATATATAATTATATAATTATATATATATTATACACATAACTAACCAACTTCACTTGAATATAAATTAAATGATAACAACCCCCAGTCATAGATAAAAAAATAATAAAGAATGAATGAAAATGATAGAAAAGTTGGACACCTGGAAATGATGGGGAAAACGTCAATCTATAACGTCCTGACAAGACTGTTCTATCTTGGGGGGAGCCTATAGGCTTATAAATGGGTGTTAGATTGGGTAGAGTAACATGTGCTAACCCCCCCAGAACATCGAGAACCGGCATATTTCGTGCGGGTTTTCTTGCGGGCTACTAAAGCAATATCCAGAATCATCTTGGGGTATCACGCAAAGTCCTGGAGAGTTCCAGTAGGGACCCACAACGGTACAGGGCATCTATTGCCCACCACATCATGGATTTCCAACTATGGAATGATAAGGCAATAGAGCCAACCAATAACCATGGCTATATATTGCCATAGCAATAAAGTAATGATTGAATGTGAGATTCACCCAATGCGCACCATCCCCAAGTCATCATTTTCATGGCTGCGAATGGCTGCGATAAACCATCCAATTAAATGGTAGACGAGTTTATTACTATTTGGTTGCCCACTATATTATAATACAGTATATTATATTGTGTGATATGATATTACATTATATTATATTATATTAATTTAAATTATATTATAATATATTATATTAACTTTATATTAAATTATATCATATTAAAAAATGTATTAGTATATGTATATGTGTATATATATGTGTGTGTGCATGTATATATATGTTATATAACTATAGTTGGAGGGGTTATATCATAAGTTATATCAATTTATAGTTATATCCTAATCTATGGTGACTACTGAGCCCAGCTGCTGGCCGGACTTTCGGGGCAGTCCAGCTCGTTGATTGCTGTCTCCTGCCGTAACTTAAAAAACTGGCTGTTTGGTGCTGGTAAGGAACAGATGCTAAGGAGGGATTCAGGGACATAGCATTTTTGTATATTTTTGTTGGGACATTCCCGAATTTGAGGGAAAACTTGTTGGACTCGTTGGTAGAAAGTCTCGAAACTTCTATTTTAACAGCAAAGTAATTGCGTCGAAGTTGATTCATTACAGAGCATTTGTCTGGGGCAAGGCTCCTAGAGAAGCCGTCGTGTATCAAATATGTTGCTTCACGCCTTTATGCAAACATGTTCACTCAATTGTCAGGCTTGGGTACCCCATCAAAGGGTATCTCATCAGCCATGGCTGGCCAGAATGAAAAATTATAAATCATATAAAAAAATATGATTGAAATATCAAAAAATATCAAAAAATTGAAACAAATTATTAAACATTAAAACAAATTAAAACAAATAAAAACAAATTACTCCGTGCCCCTCACTTTTTTTTTCTGTGCTAGGTTCTGCTGTACTTAGTCTTAGGTGGCAAGTCTGAAACAGACTAGAACATTGTTTGCAATGACCCCTGCTTGCTGCACCTCTGCTTCTTTCAGTCTATATTCTACTTTGTTTGACATTGAACCCTGCCAAAATGATGATGGAACTATTAAGATAGAATCTTTGTCATGATGATGCATATTAAATACAAGTTGTTTTAACACTTAATCACATCTGGGGTTGAGGGTTGCTCTGATATTAGGGATTGCTGGCAAGGGCCAATTTTATTACAATTGCAGTTACCCCAGTTGGTGCTTACAAACTGTGAACAATTGTGCACAGGACCCAGTGATTTCTCCACGGTGGTTGACTCCGAAGCAAACTCCACTCTACGTGTGATTGCCCCCAGGAGCACATCCTGGCACACCAAGAGGGGAAGCCCCTCCAGGGTTGCGGAACAAATTACAAAAACAAAAGTATACATATGCGAAAAATTAGAAAAATTAGAAAAAATTAGAAAAAATTAGAAAACATTAGGAAAAATTAGAAAAAATTAGAAAAAATTAGAAACAATTAGAAAAAATTAGAAAAAAAAAATAAAAAATAATAATAATAAATAAATTACAGATTTTGGCACCTCCTGCGCCAAATTTTAGTATTCGATTTAGTCTGTGTAGACTAATTTTAGTATTGCTGCAATGTCCTTTTTTTTTTTGGCAGACTTTATCAGAAAAGTTTACAATATATTGAAACATTTTTTTGAGGAGAATTGCATCTAAATACAAATAAAAAGTGCCAAGTGCTTACAATATAGCTGCGAATAAATATAGCACATGCTTAAACAAGACAAGTACAGTGCGTCACAACCAATTACTTGATAATAGTGTATTTCAATACATAGTCAATCTTTTGATACTCTTATTACATTGGCCAGAAAGACAGTGCAGTACTATGTCACATCAGAATGTATGAGAAGGGGAGGTCGAGGTGGGGCCACAATGGCTACCAGGGCCACAGCATATGTCACATCATGTTTGCCCCAAAAACAGGTATGAAACATGATTATCATTGAAATTTAATCTAATGAAATCTAATGTTTCAAAATGATTTATAATTTGTTTTAATTTGTTTCCAAGCTGATGAGAACCCCTCTGATGAGACTCCTTGTTCTCACAGAAGATTCACCCCCTCACAGAATAAATATTTTGCATCCCTTAATACACTTCCCGAAATCCTCAGAAGAATTCAGGTCTGATACCTGCCGAAAATGTCAATGCAAATCTCATGGATTGTCCCTCCAACTCTGACGCGCCTCTGAGGCTGTCTCCTCAGGAACGACCAGTGACCAGGGTGTTTCTGGTTCCAAACAATCACCCGAACCTACCCCCACCCTGATTTCGCCAGAAAACCATTCCGATTCACAAAACCAGTTCTGGCACTTAAAAATATACAAAAATCCCGTTCCAGATGTTCCAGCCATCTGTTTGGCCAAGAAAAGGTGGGAAAACATCGAATTTCCAGGGGATCCATGTGGTGTTTTGGTGCCTTCCAAGCCAGGGACCCCACCAGGGACCCCACCGTGTTACGGGGCACGGGCGACTCCAAGGTGTTCAAGGCCTCTGGTGCCTCTCCAATCTGACCAGGGGATGCTTTGCAATCCAAAAGCGACATGGCAAAATGGTCCAGAAAACCTTATAATATTATGCATATTCGTATACATATATATATAGTATACAGTATAGCCACCAAATGCCACCAAAACATCGAAACGTGCATCCCAACCGTTTTTAAATAATAAATCCCGTTTCGGCATCTTTCCGGTGGTTTTCCTATATGCAAATAATGACAGTCGGCGAAGGGTGTTTCAAAGGTTGGCCAACTGAAAGGAGATGAAAACGCCGGCTGTCAGCCGACTCTCAGCACAGAAAACATATGTCTGCATATGTCTGCATCCATTCATTCACCGCAGAAATCCAAGAAAAACATACATTATTATTATATGGTCCCAAGACCTAGCTTCCCTTCGTGCCCCTGGTGCCCTTTGGATACAAGACCCAGCCAAGATGGTCAAACTGGCCTCTGAGTCTGGTTCCTCAGCAACCGACTGTTCCGTCTCTGGCTCCTCAGCAACTGGCCGCTAAGGACCACGTATTCCAACACCATCTCTACCATTTAGCAGTTGTATTCGTGCGGTCAACATCCTGAGCTCTATGAATTGTTGCCTGTCCCTCAATCCATTCCCATCACTTGATATTCCCATTCATCCGTGGCGTTCTTTCGTCAAAATCCAGATCTGATCGCAACTTTGCCGCATCAAAAGTGGCACAAAGCTTCTTCTGAAAGTCAAAACATGTCCAAGAACCAGCAAAGAGTTGCATCATCCTCCAACTGACTCCAACTTCGGAAAGTCATGTCCAAGAATCAGTTAAGACTTGCAGCAATATCATTCTCATTCTCCAACATCCTCCAATTGCATATATACTTTTTTCAGCCAGGGCACCCCTTCGGCGACGCACGGTGAGGGCAAGGGCCGCCTGGGTTTGAGCCGTTTTTGGGGACCCTTGGGAGGTTTCCAATGCCCTTAAACAAGGTCAAGACGTCACTAATGACCTGGGCAATTTTGGCATATTCTTGAAACATTTTACAACGTGAACATACATCAGCATCTGCAGATCAATGTCGAACTTTTTTGTAAAGTCCTGGAAGCCAAGTCACCTAAGGCTTTCATAGGCTTTCCAAAGACAGCATTTGGCGTTTTTGCGGCATTGAAACGCAAAGACATAATCCCACATTCTTTGGTTCAAAGATCTGTTTGACACATCTTGGCCCTATCTTCCTGGGAATGAACTACTTTGAGTCACCCAAAAATTTATCGAGGTACTGGTTGCCTGCCATTTCAGAGATGGATCTTCTCCATTACTTCATCTTTTTCTCCATGTTCTGAGCGTGTTGCAAGGCGCATATTGAACTGAACGCAAACGAAAGAACATCTTTAGCCCACCCCGGGCATTCCAATAATTGGCTAAAATCATGGACCAAAAATTGTTAGGGGATGGACCAAAAATTCTGGGGATGGACCCTTACTGGTGCTTAGTAGGGAATGGATGGGAATTGCGGTTGCTGGGATTATTATTGATAGTGATGACATGGATCATTCCCGAAAAATCCCCGCGTTTAGCACCAGTAAGAAAAACAGCACTGGGTAAAATCACATTAAATCAATAAACAGCTGTCTAAACACCTGTATCAATCGCAACTCAGAAATCTCTCAATATGTGTTCAGCGGTGGTTGAGTCGACCATAGCCACCGACCATGCGCTTCCAGATTTCCAGGAAAATGCGAAAGTTGGATGATGTGTGCATCATCCAAGTCACTGGGGCTAGATGCTAGAGTCTGCTAGAGGTGTCCTAGAAAACTGATGAAGACATATGAAGAGCAGAGAGTTTTCCCACAGATCACGCCCTCAGTTCGCCCCAGTTTTCCGCCCGAGGCGCGGCAGCTTACGGAACCAGCTGCGGCCGAAGGCCCAGTGCAACGAAGCCCCCGCAGGCTCCGAGCCCAGGAAACAGCCGCAGCCCACAGTGACCATGGCGAAGATCAGCTTTGGTTGAGTTGTTTCAATCAATGGATTGGTTCTGTTGGGAAAATCTACAGGAAACCATGGTTTTTTTACCATCATCCAATTCTGTGTTTCAAGAGGATTTCTAGATTTTCTAGAGAACTTCTTGGAGAATGTTGAAAGCTAAGTTAGAATAACCCACGAATCACCCATCTAAAATAATTATGTCAAACAAGGATAAATAAGGCCATGTTTGGACAATGTTTGGATAGTTGCCCCTACTAATACCCTATACTAATCATCATTCCAGTGACGCCATAATTTACCCAGCTTTGGATCAGGAATGACCTTTGGAAGGTGAGATTGTGGCAGCGATATTAGAATAAGTATCTGCAATATGTCTGCCAAAAGGATTCCAAGGGAGTATGGACACGGAATCATTTTTTGCCCCAAAAAACGGTGCCAAAGAACATTCACCACCTGAATTTGGTTTCTGGAATGACCTGGGGCCATGCTGTTTTTTGTTGGCCCCTGCGCCATGAACAGTACCTGGGACTTGAGCCAAGGGGATAAACCCAAGAGGTCCAACTTGGGTTTAGACGTTGGAAAGCTGGAAACCATATGGGGTTTCCAAACATCACCTGTGGATCACCTGTAGCATCGGGTTGACGGCAAGGCCTGGTAATGGTGGTGGCTTCTCAGAGACCGGAGCCCGAACCTCGCGAGTCGGTCGTGACGAGTGGTCCACCATGGTTTTTTGGAACCATGAAAGACATAGGGTTGATGAACTTCCCCGGAAATTGGGAATAAGTCAATCAAGTTAGTAATGTATAATGTATCATTGAATATGAATGATGTGCATGAATGAAGAAACTCAACTTATTCGATGGCTGAACATGCTGAGCTTACGTAACTATATATGTTTTAAAACACAGGAAGTTCTAATTTGGGTAGGTTAAGACACCGAGCATATGGGATTGCGCTCTAGATGTTTGTTGTGTATTCTTGCTGTGGCTATTTTTGCGCTGGCTGGTAATGTTGGTTCGCCTTCTTTGGCATAGATACTGACTAAACTTCCAAAGCTGTCCATCTGAAAAGAGGCTTTATCAAGAAACAAATTCAACATGTGGCAGATTGACATCATGAAACAACAATATATGTTCCATCACTACACAGAATCCTATTCCCCGGGTGTCTCCGCTTCCACCACCATTCGCTCACCAACGTCCAGCCGGCGTTGAAAAAGCGCCCGCCTGGGCTTCCGAAGTGCCGGCATCGCTGATCAAATCATCTACTCGTAGGGTGCCGGTCTCCGGAAGACTTTGGAGCATGCCCCCAAAAATGTAGCCTCCAGGGCTGGAAGATCTGGGGCTACTTGGGAGCTAATGACTTAGTGACCATTATTAATATGTTTGTAATATATAAGATTGTATATGATTGTAATATGATATTGTCACATCCACCCACCATGTTCTCTGCACATCATGCTACCTCCTTTTACCTTTGAAAATATGGTATCTAGGTTGCCGCCAATCTCCGGCGTATCACTCAATGAGCAATGGGGTATCCTATGCTCAAGCCACATTTAGACTAAGGCCAGGCTAAGGTTATTTTGGTTTAGCACATGTCAGCACAAAAGGGTTTATCCGAAATTAAGCAACCCCAAAATCCCATGATTGAAACTTGTCATTTAGGGGTATATATCTACCCCCAGTTTCTGGATAAACCCGAAACCACGAATCATTGGTTAAATCCGATATCTTGATGATTAAGAACAAGGCTGGTGCCGACACAACGGATGGTCCGGTTGAGAAAAAAAGTAAATTCGCTTCCAGTGATGTGTGTTCCGGCCTCATCCTGATGATTAAATCCCAATCCCCATTCAAATCAAGCCATTAATCTCGGTAAATTATAGTAATTCACAAGCCTGAAATAATGTCATTTTGGGATGATTCCCGTGATTCCCCGGGAAAAAAAAAAACATGATTCCAGTGAGGGAGAACAGTGAGGTCGTTAAAATTTACCCTGATTAATCATTACTATAATCCCCACTAAAATTGCTTGCCGAAAATCCCCCTTAAACCAACCCCAAGAAACGGATCTGGCGCCGGACTCTCCGAAGCTCTTCCACCTACGCCGGAGCGTAACTCGCCCACTGGTGATAAGTGATAATTGTTAAAAGGTCAATGGGCGATTTACTGGTGAGATTGTATCATCAATGGATCTTCATTGGTTTTGCTAATCTTCATTGTTTAGGCACAGAGACGAAGGAGCTTTGATTATGCACCAAGATGTTAAAAAATGAATGAAAATTAAACAACTAGCATACCAATGTTGGTCGATTGATCACCAGTGGTTCCTAAAATCCTAGTGATCGTGAGTAAAATGTTTTCTAGTTCTACATACGTGACTTTTTCCATCCTTTTCTTATTTTGGGAGGGAGGGTACCCTCCTGTAATTAAACAATTAAACTAACATGGATGCGAAAAACCCATCATTCGTAGATCATGTTCCGAACGCTTTTAACCATGGCTCTTTTCACATCTTTTTGTATAGCCTGTATAGCCCCATCCTGACCAAGAAGTCCAGCAGTTCCAAGCGCTTCACAACTATGATTGTTGGAAACTATGGCTATCAATTATGATTATGGTTAATTATTTATATAGATTATTGCATACTATTGAATATTATTACATACTATTACCATCTATTACCTATAGCTTCATACCTATCACTATCAGTCACTATCATCTATGATTGTAATGCTTATTAAGCTTATTGCATACCAGCGCTGCGTATTGGTATAGTCAAAAAGCCGTTTGCCTAAGAAAATTACCAGGGCACCAGGTTGTAATCCATGGCCCACAAATTACCAGAGGGGTTCTATCCTTTCTTCAGTGGTTAATCTGCATGATATAAGAATTTGTTGATCAGATTAATAAATGTAAATATATTTATACTATTCTAAAATGGATTTATCCTCTGAATCATGGTCAGTCTTCATTAATTCTCATCTTATTTATAATTTATGCTCTAAAATTAAAAAAATGATCTTCAAAATCTTCCATGTTATATCATTTTATCATACATATGGATAGGTTCCCATGTATCTTCCCATCTTAAATTACCTCAAAAGCCCCAGCACCGCACCTCCTTTGCAGACTCTTCGGGATCCGTCCATTGCTCCACCTCTTGGGTGGTTCTGCCTGTCCGATGACTCCTCAGTGACGACCCATGGAGCTTCATGGCTGGGACAATGGCTATGTTTGAGATGTTTTGAGATAGATCTGCGGATGTTTTGAGATGTGCTTTGTGAGAATCTTTGTTTGATATGTTGTTCATTAGTTCATGTTCTTTTTCAGTGAGATACCCTCTGGTAATTTAACATAGCTAATTATGGAAAGATCCACCATTTTTCATGGGTAAATCCACTATAAATGGCCATTTTCAATAGCTATGTTAAATTACCAGAGTGTATGTTTTCTTTGATGTTTTGTTTGATGTTCCAACTCTCTCTCCCAAAACTCCAAAACCTGGCAGCCCTCATCAAATCTCATCAAGGTCCCAACGCCAACTGTCGGCCAATGTCCCTGACCTTGGCCCGGTGATTTTTCACCGCAATTTCCCGGTGGAGAAGAACCAGTTTTTTAGTGGTGTTCTACCTCTTGTCAACAGTAAATACCAAATTGTTCATGGCATGTTTGTAATATATACTAAAATATATATATATATAAATAATAATAATAATAGTAATAATAAAAATACCCTAAACCCTAAACCCTAAACCCTAAACATTATATATATTACTATATTATATATAGGGGTGTAAAAGGATGTCAAGGCCCCACTCTTTGTTGGCTCAACCGCCTCTACTGGGCGCCCCATCGCTTTGCATCTCCTCTTCAGTCACGGAGGGGCGCGACTCCTGCCGACTCCATGGCGGTGAATTCCTATGTCAATGGGCGGCCATAAATTCCTGATATTTCATTGGATTGGTTTAAGGGAAAAATTACAGGAAACCATGGTTTTTACCATCAAATATAGGGCTTTCCTATAATTTTTCCCATCATCCAATTCTATGAATGTTGGGATAGCACGGGTATGACTATGACCCATAGGATCCATGGTGCTGCTAGATATGGTAACATTTACCATCAATATACCCCAGTCATGTTAGCATATAATAGAATATATACCATGGATCCTACGGGTGAAGGGAATCGGGCGGAATCGAGTGATGACATTAGACAGATTCCTTCAGCCCATCCCATTGCTTAGAAATTGAGCCACCTATACTCTACAGTTCCTCAGGTAGGGAAAGGCGGCTGCAAAAGACATAACCAGGAATAACAACGGGAATGGAGGGAACCAAGGAACCGGAAAGCTCGGGAGTACCAGCACTAAAAATTCAGAAGAATGGGGGGTTCAGAACTGGTACTGTGGGAAACTATATTTTGAAACTATGTTTTGACTATGCATCCCATGATGTAACCAGCCATCTGCGGGTCATGTTAGATCATCCCTATGGCCCTATGGTGGAACGACCGGTCACCCCTTCTTGAAACTGCCCCCGTGGTCCTCCTCGTCCAGGGCCCCCCTGCAGCATCCGGCACTCAAACATGGTGTGCTGGGAAACTCCACCATTATGGGGCATTATTCCACCATTTATGATATTGATGGGTGGTTTCCCCAGCAAAAAAAAAAACATTGATCAATGGATTGGTTTAAGGGAAATTTTACAGGAAAACCCATATTCAATGGGAAAATCTATGGTTTCCTGTAGATTTTCCCTTAAACCAATCCATTGACAAATTGATGACCACAGGGACCGCTGCCAAGAACTGAGACGCCCCAACGGAAGAGGTGGCACAGCTGGGGCCTTCGGCATAGACTGGAAGATTCCCTCCAACAAATAGGGAAAATCCATCCAAAATCTCGGGCTTGAGTGGGATTCTTTATTGATTCGTGGATTTTCTATGACTCCAGGATGATTATAGGTCTAGTACGGTCTACTGAGTCTACTAGTGGTGTACTACCGGGTGATTAAAAGTAAACAATCTTGGAAGTGGCCGATGATTTTTGAAGGAAAAGTAGGAGAAGTCTACAAAGTGAGTGCATCCCCAACCCCCTCAGAAAAGCTCTTCTTGATCGTGCTCCACTTTTCTATCCATTCTGGGAACGGCAAGAATATTACTCGTTTCTGATCCTCATCCCCAAAAACGTCGTTGAAATTCAAGAAAACGAAATCATGAAACCATCAACATCCAGCAACCACATCATGTTTTTTTTAGTTGTGGCATACCAATCTCTTTCCATGTTTGCTGGTTCAACACCAATTGTTGAAGGTTAGATCCTTGCCTCACCAGACTCGGTGTCACCTTGCGGCCGTGGCCGAAATCAGCATGGACAACGCTGTGGTGATGACCATGTTTTACCAGGTTTTACAGTCAACAAGAAGGAAATGTTCACTAAGAAATCTGGTTGGTGGTTGACCTACCCCTCTTAAAAATATGAAAGTCAGTTGGGGTTATTTTTCCCAATATATAGAAAAATAAAAATAAAAAAAAATGTTCCAAACCACCAATCAGAAATTGACATGTCCTTGACTAGTCTTCATTTGGCTTTGTCCGAGGGTGGTGGTGTTGCACCCAAATGTAAGGCAAATGATAAAAAACCATTGGACTCTATGGCCATTTTGGGGTATCTCTCACATCTGGTGCAAAGTTCTGCCACAGCACCGTGGTGCGAGAAGTGAAGATTATCATAGATTATCAGATTGGGAAGCAAAGGCCCATGCGTCACAGGGTCTTGATGGTTTCAGAAGGTGCATATTATGTGCATATCTGAAGATACCTGAACCATCAGAAGATCCCCGGCATAAAACGTTCTGCTCTCAGTGCCGCCGAAGTGCCGCTCATAATCGTCCGCAGCTCTTGCACATGGACGTTCATCCGCTTGGCCCTGGCTTGGGGCCATCATCCCCAGCACTGGGAGAAAACAGACAGTCGGCAAAGGGCCCCAAAAAAATGTCCTCCCTACCAAATCCCCCCAATCTGCCGGGTGATGTTCCATCCTTCCAGGCTGCCCGGCCAGTCTTCCAGAGCAGAGCGCAAGGATGGATCTGGAATGGCCTGGTCACAGACTCACAGACCCTCTGGGAATTTTTTAACGCTTTGCTCTGGAAAATCAGCAAATCATCGAAGTACCCTCTGGTAAACATACAAAAAACTATGGAAAGATTCACCATTTTCAATGGGAAAATCCATGAAAATCCACTATAAATTGTGATTTTCAATAGCTATGTTAAATTACCAGAGGGTAAATGTGCCAATTTCATCCATTTGCCAGAGGAATCCAGGCAAAGCAGTCATCCAAGTGGACGTTTGGGATGGTGAAACTCGTGGCTGTTTATGGCTGTTTTGTAGCAATCAGAACGTGCGAAAAAACAAGGGAAGACGGATCCCCAATACCCAAACGTGGCAATGGAAAAATTCCCTATAAATGGAGGTTTGAATGGGAAAACGGGAAAACTAGCTTGAAACATCTATAAAATTCTATAAATGGTAGATTCTCCATTGCCATGTCCATTAACACCGGGATTTTTTTTGCTGATTCCCCCAAACCTCCAGTCCGCTTTCGAAGTCTCCAATGACGCCTGATCAAACTGCCAAGCGAAATTTAGGGCGGTGGCCAGAGATGCTGGTACCCTCTGGTGAACTAACATAGCAATTGAAAATGGCCATTTATAGTGGATTTTCCCATTAAAAATGGTGATTTTCCATTGCTATGTTAGTTCACCAGAGGGTAACAATCCTCAAAAGCCATCCAGAAATTCAAAACGAAGATATGTGGCCCCGAAAAAGGTTGCCATAAGCCAAGTCCATTGAAATCATCGTACTGTTCTTGCATGTTCTTGCTGAGAGCCGTGGGGAAAAAACAAACAAATCCTTGAAGCCACCGTGTCCAAAGATTGAAATAAAGTGCTATTACAACGCATTCCCACGAAGTCAATTTAACATGTTCTATCTATGCTTACTTGACCTGGTCAAAAAATCGCGCCTTTAAGCCCAAGTACAAACACGTATAAAAACAAGTGACCCGGGCCCACTTTTCTCAGCTGAGCACATCAGCCAGTCAGCAGGAGCGTGGGGCGAAGTGTCCCAGTCACTTCATCCACCCCCGCCGTGGTGCGCGGTGACCCCCGCGGTTCCGGTGCTTCTGGGGCCCCGGATGGCCCCGGCCCCGCTCCCAAAAGATAACAAAGTTCAACGAGATCATCATAAGTAGATCATCCATTTAAATCCATTTAAAGGGATGATGTTCCAATAAGACACATGGACCATATGGATTTTCATTGAGGCAACTTCAAGCCAAGTTGGCAAACAAATCCTCAACTGTCGATGAACAAGTGGTACGATTGGCCATCCTCAACACCAGGGAACCACGGCTCCAACTTTTGGTGCCCAACGGCTAGTTCTGAGGGCCAGCTACGTGGTTCCCTTTCTCAAAGAGTTGATCTCTGCACGGAAGCTTTCTGCCATCTTCTTGGGACTTTCGGCCTTGGAAATGCCTGCCAAGAGCACCGGAAAATCAACGAAGGTCCAATACAGCAGGACTGTGGACAGAAGGTCATGTGACATAATGAAGTAATGCTGGCATTTTGCAGGGCAATCTTTTTGGGACGAGTCATGGACAAGCATCGCCTGGTTGCACAATCCAACTTACTGTGAGTTATCCCCATCCTGGGTCCCGGGTGGGTTGCAGCCAATGTTTGGCCAATTTTTGGTGAGTTGAAACCCATCGCGCTTCAACTCAACATGCATGCCACTGCACCCCAATTTCTGGTGTATCATATACAGGTGAACGTAAAAGATCTACCTTTTTATCTTTCCAAATATCAAATGCACCATTTCACTATGTTCACCCATGATAATCCATATCTCATGTATCTCTCATTTGGCTGTGTCTGAAAATGTGGTCTACCTAAAAAAAGGTCATGTTCATCATTTTTCATACGAAAAATGTGGACAAATGACAATGTTTAAACTTTAAACAAGTGGGTTTCAAGGTATCTCAACATTATTTAGAGGTCATGTAAGTCATATATCCAAATTCTTGATCATTTCGCCCCAAAATTCCAGCGAATGTTGAGTTCTCAGCTGCTTCTTGTTGACTTTTGCTGGAAAACATGACAAAAACCCACAGCTCTCCACATGTTGACCCACCTCGTGAGATGGGCAGCAGAATGCCCAGGCCGTCTTTTCTCAGCCCCGCTTGCAGCGCGGCCGCCAGGTCACCCCCCTGCGCACCGATGCCGGGGGAGAGGAACCAGACGTCCTGGGCGAGGCCGCTAAGGACAGGGGGAAGAACCGGGAGAGAAAACCCTGCGAAAATGGTGGTTTTTCATAGTAAACTTGTGTTTTTTTGATGGTCAAATGGTGGGTTTTTATTGTTTTTCATACAGAAAGTGAAATGGTCGGAATTCAACACAAGACTTTGTTACAATACAGTGATAAAATGTCAAAAGATAATACGAACAATTCATCGTATATGTTCATACGTTCACAGCACTAGGTACCTACAATTTTCGGGTTGTGGCAAATGGTTAAATATGATTATGGAAGTTACGCGTAAGTTATGGTAAATTACGGGTAACGGCCAAAAACGGAAGCGAGCGGGTGTTTGCTAAACTTTAAACATGTTCTCTTAAGAATCTTTCAAACACCAGTTGTTCAAGTGTAAACTCAAGAAAAAAGTGAACCATTTGTTAGGATGGCTGGTCAATAGTTATGGTATGTTATGGTGATTTCTACAGTTACAAATGGGAGAAACCCATCAATGGGGGGAGCTACCATCACCAGTGTTATCCATTCACCACTTGCGTTTCTGCAATTCCTGGCAGCAAAATGGGGAGGTACAACTGAATGTACCTGGTGGGAACCTGACGTGGCAGTAGGGCAGAAACAACTTTGAACAGGTAAATCAATGTAAATCATTAAATCGTGTACAAGCAGGTGACTTTCCCACCTTTCCCATGTCTTGTCCATTGCAATGTTGGACTGCCGGCATGTGTTTTGCAGACGCCATCGGTGACTCCCAGCTGATTGGCTGACCACTGAAGCACAGTTGTTCCGGGATACCCTTTGATAGTCAAACTGCAATGTTTCACATCCCCATAATGCCATATCTCATGGGCAAATCCTCTGTAAACTATGTGTACGGGTTTGATTACATAGTTATACCGTTATACCATATTATGTCAGACTTCATTTATCGATGGGAGATGTTCCGTTGCCAGGTACCCTGCGGTATTGAACCGGATTTTTTCACATAGCTATGGACAATCATCATGTTTAGATATATTGGTGAGGTAAATCCTGATACCATCTGGTTATTTAACATAGCCATGGGAAATGGCCCATTTGTAGATGATTTTCCCATTAAAACCTCCATTTATAAGGGATTTTCCATGGCTATGTTAAATAACCAGATGGTAAATCATCTATCAATGGACCATGGCTTCCATAGCTAAGAAATTACCAAAGTACCTGAGATGACCAGGTTTCTCGGTTTCTCTTCGTCGAGGATCAGGCAAAGCACCTCGAATCTTCTTCATGGCCTCGACATCAGTTGCACCAACCTTGGCTCCGAGAAAAATGGCAGGCTGGATTTTGGATGGATGGATAGATAGATAGATAGATAGACAGATAGATAGAAAGACAAATAAATCGATAAAATTCATCAAGATTCCATAAATATGTGATATTATATCATAGTCTCGCAAATGGAAGGACAATCTGCCAAACAAAGTGCAGTAGATTAGGACGCCCAGGCACCACCAGTCCAGCATTTTGATGCTCCTTGGCCCAGGTCTCACAGCACAGCTTCGCCACGTGCAAATACCTCAAAAGGTCGTAAGACGCTACGACTTGGCGTATCTTTTGAATGGCATCGAATGGCATAGAATGGAAAAAATGAGACACTTAGCATCACTTGATCACTGGGCGACCTTTTGAACGCTTTCCATTCGTGCTTCTGATCCTTCTCCAAAATCATGGAACAACGTTTAAAATGATCCAAAATCTCCATCCCAACTAACAGTTCTACGATCAGTTACCATCGATTACGGTCAGTGTCCATCAATTACCATTAGCAAATCATTAGCATCAGTTGCCATCAGCTACAGTACCCATGTTTCGGGGTGGAAATCACTGCTCTTCCATTGGCAAGGCACAGTGGGTCACCACTCGGCAGCTGGAGGGCTTGAAGGTCTTGAGATCCTGACGCCCGAGGTCGGTATCTGAGGCGAAGCTGCCAATGATGACGTGAATGATTGATGATTTCTAGGGATGTAACTGAATGTAACTGTAACTGGTAACCCTGTGTCCAAAAGGTAGATGTGAGGCTTGTGTAAGGTAATGTATCCGAAAATGGCTGGATTATGGCACAAAACCTCCATGTTACACCAATATCATCCAGCATCAATAAGCGCTCGCCGTTCCACCCAGATCGCCCAGGAATCATGTTCTCTGGGTTTGGTTTGGGGACGACAGAGTTTTTTCTGCTCCTGGATTGGAGGTCTTGCACAAGACCCAAACTCCTCTAGAAGCATCCTTCAGAAATGGCTGCAAGCCATCTCCACCTGTGCAGCTTGGGCTCGAAAGGTGCCAAAGATTGGCCACAAACTCGAGAAGAATGAAATTGCTAGAGGATGCTCAGAAACGCTCAACCCGACTTTGCGTCAATGTTGGGAAACATGATGATAAACCAAGAAATACGGATCATGGGATTTGGATGGAAGTGGGCATATCACCCCATGTTTTCCCAGGATGTGGGTCCAGATCTTGGTGGCTGCAGTTCATCCCATATAGCTGGAAGTTATGGATGTTCATCCACAAAATATGGAGAACTTCATAGGCTGTCCCACATGTGTTGCAGCTTCAATCCCAATGCTTGCTGGTGTCATCCATTTTGTTTGGTTGATAGGGATTCCCCTCGTTGAATCTCAAATCTCCCATTTTTGGCCATTTTAAGCCCCGGAAAGGATAGAACAGTGAATTCTCACTATTTCAATAGGGATTTGCTTCTCCATCTGGGGATTCATGGATAACTTGTCCTCAGAACTAACAATTGAACTAATCGACCAGGCTATACCAAGGGTCACTCCCCGATGCCTAGGTAGGGACTGGCCGTGATGCTGTCGCAGCGCAGCTGCTCAAAGGCGCTCGAGGCATAGGCTTCGCTCGTGGAGCCGATGTCCCCCCGCTTGGCGTCGAAGACGATTCTGGCGGGAGACGATGGGACCATAGGACCCTTCCGCCAGGTGCCACCTGGAAATCTGTAAATTAATATATGAGCTGTAAACAGGTGGACATTTTAATGGGATGTAAATATATATATATATATATTTATACATATATAGGTGGGTAAATCATCCGGAAGAATGCCAGTTTAAGAGATCTTGATGTTGAACTGTTGAAATCGGAAACTGTGGCTTGTACGCCCCACATAGCCGGGATCATCCGGGATCAACTGTATTCCCGGCAACCGCTTTAAGGACCCCGAAATGTGCCCGGAAATAGGTGGAAATGTTGGCCGGACATCATCAAAAGTGCATGAAACAACCAGGTTCCAATGGTTTCGATAAGAGCAGGGAGCTTTAAATCAACAAATGTTGGCGAAGTACCTTTGAATTTTGGGAAATTTAACACATGCTATGGAAAATCACAGTTTTCAATGGGTACATCATCTATAATTTCATGGGCCATGCTCCGCAGCTATGTTAACTTACAGGCGTGTAGGTCCCACAAAAATTAAACGATGTGTGAGGTGTTTGAGGTCGAAAATCACCATAAGGATCGATAAGCATTGATGAAATGAATCCAATCCCCTGTTCATATTAAACGGCCACAATCCCATGGTTTCTGGGGTGTTGGTCCGTGGGCGGGGAAGGGATCAAGCATCCCAGTTTTTGATAGTTTTTGATAGTTAAGCCATTCAAGTCCCTAATGTTCATGGTTATAGTATGTCATAGTTATATCTGTTATAGATGCATAAACAATCATAAACATACATACCATGCCATGCCATGCCATACCCTACCATACCATACATATAACCTCCCATGAAATCAACATTTTTGCTGGGTAAATTCCCTTGAAATCACCTGAAATCACCATGTTATACCACGCGCCGAGCCACGGGATCTCCGGTGGGATCAGCTGCAAAACTCGTTGCAGCGCCTCCCAACCCGCAGAGCCGTAGACCTCGAAGAAGGCCGCGTTGGGTTTGAAGGCGCATGCCACCTCTGTGGTCTCCTGCCATGGGGGTAACTTCGCATGGCAGGAATGACATCAGATTCTTGAGACCATGGGATGGAAATGTTCAATATATGTGTATATATATATATATAATATATATATATATAATATATACGTATACATACATATTTGTTAATACTAAGGGGATGGGATTCGCTGGGACTCACGGATATTCATCCCTAGCCGCACCCTAGTCATGTCACGTAAAGCCAGAATTCATCGTCGATCTCCTGGAAAGAAACCGATGTTTTCCATCTCCAGCACGGGTCCAAAATATCAAAGCCGAAAATTCACCCAAGATCAAGTCGATCTCATGAAGTCCTTGGCATGTCCTTTAACCCCGTAAAAACCATCCCCAGCTTCAGCGTCAGCCATCCTCGATAAGTCGTTGGCAGAAGCGAAAGGCCCCCTCTGCGGAGTCTTCCTGCAGCTCAGACTTATGTGGGTCAAGGCCCACACAGAGCAGGGAGTCCTTGGCGCCGTGGCTCGGCTTGGGGAGCCAGGGCAGTTTTTGGAGGTGGAGCCGACAGGTGCTGCCAATTGTAGGGAACCTGCCATTTGGACCTCTGAAGAAACCCCATCCCTGTCTTGTTCATCACATTCCGACGTGAAATTTGGAAGAGAATCCTTCAAGACCTGTTGGAGTTGAATGGGCCAAAGATAGATAAAGATAGTTTGTCCGCCCTGATTTGTATGATAACTAGACGGATGTCGCTCGCCATCTTGAAACGACTGCATTGCTTTGAGGCATCCAAGAATTGCTAAATCCCTAATCTTCCCCTTCCGCAGTTCCCTTCCCAGTAGCTTTTTTTTTGTATGAAAGCAGACAGGAAGTGTGGCAAAATCCAAGGCGCGATTTCCTTCGCCCGTTTCGTCAACTTCTCAAAGAAGCTCATGGCCACGGCACTCCACGCCACGAGCGGCACGGCTTTCCCCGGCGCAATGGCGCGGGTCACTGGCTGCTAGTGGCTGCGCAGTAAGCACCAGCTGTTCAATACGCGGGATGTGGTTTTTTTTTGGCCCTGAAAATGGCATGGAAATTTGGAAGTTTCCTAAAATGGAGGTACCAATTCATCCAATCCAGACCATTTTCGGCAATTTTGCTATTGAAACCGTGACTTGGGGATCCGATTTTAAGAAAACCCCAACAGATGGAAATGGATGGCAACCTACTTTGAAGTGTGAACCTGAGCGGGCCCTTTCTCCAGCGTAGTTTCACCTATTTTTGCAGATTGTTGGGGTCTCGAAATCGCTACAGGTGGTCTGGCTTTAGCAATCTCCAACCTGGCAACGAACATTTTTCCGTTTAGATTTATATCATGTTGTACCTAGATGTTCCCTTGCAAACACAAGGATCTCCCGGCCAGTCATGATTGACTTCTCCACCATCTCATTCTTGTGGTTTAAACTTGAAATCGATAACGTTCCTTGTGAAAACCTGAGTTTTGGATGGTGAAAAAAGCGTTTTGGATGGTTTTAATATGTTTTAATTACCATATCCACCCACTCCAATGCCGAGTTCTCTCGCCTTCCACGCCTTTGCTAAGACGGTCAACGGCCTCGATTAAAGGAGGCAGATATTTCTTAGCCCGCGTTTTCCATGCATTTCCATATGATGGAATCTTACCTGGTCGCTACTGGCACATCCAACGCCCAATAGATGTCATCCCCCAGCACCGGCACGACTGAGTGTCGCTCAGACTTCGCGGGATCTTCCTGCCCAAACGCGGTTGGGTGTTCACAGTTGTCAACGATGCATGAGTGAAACTGGATGAACCTAGGTTCAATGTTACAATGCTCCCATATGCAGTATAAAAATGTCAATGCGTCTTCAGGTCCGAGGAGGAAAAACATCAAAAATGATACTAATTACTTGTACAGACTGGGTCTTTTACAGACAGGGAGAAGACTGCCCTTGCAGTTCTGCTTGGAATGGATATAATTATAATATCATATATATATATGTGTGTGTGTGTCCCAAGTCACTAAACTCAAGACTCAAACAATTTCAAACAGTTCATCCAGGTGGCTATTGCCTTTGATCACCAGTCCACCATGCCTTGGACTCTTCTGCAGGTGGCGTCGGCTCATCCGTCTTGCCATCTGCAGGTTTTTCTCTAGTGCCATCCTCGTCCTTGTCCTCCAAATCAGTTGCCGGCGCTGTCGGATCTGCCGGTGCCGCTGGGGTTTCGGCCGCATCGCCCGGTGCATCGGTGCCGCCTTCGGCCGCCCCGTCTGCCGGCGCGCTCGGCTCGGCGCCGCCCTCAGCGGCTGCGGTTGCATCAGCCTCCGCCGCCGGGGCATCAGCTGCACCAGCCTCCGCGGGCATCTCCCCGGCAGCACCCTCGGCGGCGTCGGCAGGGGCATCGGCTGGGGCACCTTCAGCTGCATCGGTCTTGGGAGCATCGGCGGCTCCTTCTGCGGGAGCTTCACCTGGAAAGGCTGAACTGGAAGCATCATATGTGGGGGTTGTTGATAATGTTGAAATCGATTGCTCTTGTTTTGGAATGCTTTAGAATTTTTGCCTCTCTCTCTCTCTCTCTCTCTCTTCATCGCCTTCTTGAAGAGTTCAGCTAAGCTAAAGGCGAGTGAAAGATTTTTGCATCTGCTCCTATTTTTTGGGCAAGAAGGGGCATTTCATTATTTCCAGGCGTTCCAACTCAACCCAGCTGGTCTGTAGGCCTTCTGCGCCCTCTGCCGGCACACCTGAGAGCAGGGGGTGGCTTGGCCACCTGCTGTAGACGTTAGAAACCGCTTGAGCCACTTAAGATGCAGCTATACACAGTAGCACATGTGAATAATTAAGAACGGTTGAGAACCAACCCAATTGATCCCCAAAATGGAGGTGTGTACCAAATCTGTTGCTCCGCTATGGTTTGTATGCGGGGAAGCCTGCAGAGAATCTCACAAAGAATCAACCAAACTCCAGCATCCATCTATTCAATCTATTCCAGAAGGGTACATCCATCTATTCCAGAAGGGTAAGTACATCATGAGCCAAGCCACTTATAGGGATATCAATCTCTGTCTCCTTGCCATCAGTCCTCGGTGATGGGTTCCCATGGGTTCCATGCCACACTTGGCACACTTGGCACACTTGGCATGTGCTTGGCACACTTGATCCATGCCCCTCCAAGCGTCTAAACCTGTGTAAAGTGTAAGAATGTACCAAACATGCTATGATCATCTATGATCTATGTAAGCTGGCATTTGATCCAGTGCATACGGGACAAGCATCTAACTGGTTGGTTTTGTCGCACTGACACCATATGCAGCAGGTAAAGTACAGTTATACCCCATTCACTGCCTCGCTGATGTAAGCGGACAGTTCAGTGCATATACATAGCAGTGCATATACATATATGCACATGCATGTGCATAAAGATAAGCTATTGAACACAGTCATTGAACACACAGTAGATGTGAATAAACATAGATAGAGATAGTAGGTGTATATCATATATGATTAGATCTATCTATATAATGTTTGGGAATGATTAAAGAGATGGTACCCTATTGTGAGATCTTTCTTGCTCCTAATTCAGTCACATGCTAATTGTTGGGGGGGAACTCTATTGTGAGATTTTTTTCAGATTTTTTCATTTTTTTTTTTTGTTCAATTAGTTTTTATTTTTTTAAAATTTTTATTTTTTCAATTTTAGATTTTTTCCAGATTATTTCATTTTTTTATTATTTTTTATTTTATTTTTTTATTTATTTATTTTTTTTAATTTTTATTTTTTCAATTTTAGATTTTTTCCAATTTTTTTCCAAATAATTAGATGCCTTATTAAACCCTTATTAAAAAACAGCACCCAAACAATTTTTCAAGGGGATACCTCATGATTGGCTCAGTTACTCAATAATATAATTGTTTGGATGGTACTCTATTGTGAGCACCAACTTTTGGGAGTGAAAAAAAAAGCAAAACCCTTTCTCCATCTTTCTTTTGGTAAAGCTGATCCTTTCACTTTAGAAAGCCATATTTGTGTTAAAACTTTAAAATGCAAGGCTTTCCAAATAATTAGATACCTGAAAAAACCATAATTGGCTCAGTTACTCAATAATATAATTGTTTGGATGGTACTCTATTGTGAGCACCAACTTTTGGGAGTGATAAAAAAAAAAAAAAAAACCCTTTCTCCACCTTTCTTTGAGTAAATCTGGTGCCTTTACTTCAGAAAGCTATATTTGTGTTAAAGCTTTAAAATGCAAGGTTTTCCAAATAATTAGATGCCTTATTAAACCCTTATTAAAAAACAGCACCCAGACAATTTTTCAAGGGGATACCTCATGATTGGCTCAGTTACTCAATAATATAATTGTTTGGATGGTACTCTATTGGGAGCACCAACTTTTGGGAGTGAAAAAAAAAACAAAACCCTTTCTCCACCTTTCTTTGGGCAAAGCTGGTGCCTTTACTTTAGAAAGCTATATTTGTGTAAAACTTTAAAATGCAAGGTTTTCCAAATAATTAGATACCTGAAAAAACCATAATTGGTTCAGTTACTCAATAATATAATTGTTTGGATGGTACTCTATTGTGAGCACCAACTTTTGGGAGTGAAAAAAAAAAAACCTTTCTCCACCTTTCTTTGGGTAAAGCTGATGCCTTTACTTTAGAAAGCCATATTTGTGTTAAAACTAAAATGCAAGGTTTTCCAAATAATTGGATGCCTTATTAAATCCTTATTAAAAAACAGCACCCAGACAATTTTTCAAGGGGATACCTCATGATTGGCTCAGTTACTCAATAATATAATTGTTTGGATGGTACTCTATTGTGAGCACCAACTTTTGGGAGTGATAAAAAAAAAAAAACCCTTTCTCCACCTTTCTTTGAGTAAATCTGGTGCCTTTACTTTAGAAAGCCATATTTGTGTTAAAGCTTTAAAATGTAAGGTTTTCCAAATAATCAGATGCCTTATTAAACCCTTATTAAAAAACAGCACCCAGACAATTTTTCAAGGGGATACCTCATGATTGGCTCAGTTACTCAATAATATAATTGTTTGGATGGTACTCTATTGTGAGCACCAACTTTTGGGAGTGAAAAAAAAAACAAAACCCTTTCTCCACCTTTCTTTGGGTAAAGCTGGTGCCTTTACTTTAGAAAGCTATATTTGTGTTAAAGCTTTAAAATGCAAGGTTTTCCAAATAATTAGATGCCTTATTAAACCCTTATTAAAAAACAGCACTCAGACAATTTTTCAAGGGGGTACCTCATGAGTGGCTCAGTTACTCAATAATATAATTGTTTGGATGGTACTCTATTGTGAGCACCAACTTTTGGGAGTGAAAAAAAAATAAAAGTAAATTAAAAGTAAATTGAAATCAATTGAAAGTAAATTAAAAGTAAATTGAAATCAATTGAAAGTAAATTGAAATCAATTGAAAGTAAATTAAAAGTAAATTGAAATCAATTGAAAGTAAATTAAAAGTAAATTGAAATCAATTGAAAGTAAATTGAAATCAATTGAAAGTAAATTAAAAGTAAATTGAAATCAATTGAAAGTAAATTGAAATCAATTGAAAGTAAATTAAAAGTAAATTGAAATCAATTGAAAGTAAATTGAAAGTAAATTAAAAGTAAATTGAAAGTAAATTAAAAGTAAATTGAAATCAATTGAAAGTAAATTGAAATCAATTGAAAGTAAATTAAAAGTAAATTGAAATCAATTGAAAGTAAATTAATTAATTAAAAGTAAATTGAAATCAATTGAAAGTAAATGGAAATCAATTGAAAGTAAATTGAAATCCTTTCTTAATTTGATTGACCAAAAAAATGTTGAGGGGGGGCAAAAAAAAGTGCGAGTTATAGAGTATCCTCAAATTGTTTGGGGGGGGGGGGCCCTCACACTAATCAGACGCAAACATTATAGATGTTAGATCATGTTGGATATACTGTATATATATATATAGAGATGAATGATGTTACATATCATATGAAGACATTCTGTGTTATAACCATTTGATCAATTCGCTTCCGTCCCTTCCGTCGAGGGCCCCGACTTCGCTTCGGCGCCCTGCGGGGGAACCAAATACCCGAAGACATCATCAACAACCGATTGAATCGTGATTGTTTGGTGGCAAAAAAAAACATCATAAATTCAATCAAAACATGACAACAAGAATAATATAATAATAACAAAAAATATGCACTTCAATATCTGCAACATCTTCAATATCTTCAATGTACTTAAACTTTGTTTATTCGAACAATTGCATCGAGTTGATCGGCAGCAGGTCAGAGAGTTTTCCCCCGCGCCTCCTCCGCCATGGGCCCGTCACTGTGGAGCGCTGCTCCACTGTTTCAGTGGGCTCGTCTTTCACGCGCTTGGGCCAATCGGGGAAAACATACAGACATGACTTAGATGTAGACGCATGCAAACTATGTGTATAAATGTATTATATATATATATACAGTATGTGTGTGTGTGTCTGTTTGTGCGTGTGATATGCTGCTTATATATAGATAGATATGATATTGCACGATTGCATATATCATATATGTATACACATATTATGTATGTGCATATATGCATATGTCGACGTTTTTTTTTAATGTGACGTGTGCAATTCTGCGCCATAGCCTCCACCGCTTTTTCAAGAGGATGGCTGAAGGTCGCTGTACCTCACCTGGCTATGGATCAAACTTCGGCATTTTCCTTGCTGGCAATCAGCGAACGAAACCTGGAAGGGTGGCTAGGCCACAGGGATTTCCAAGAACAGCCCGCCACGGTTGATTACCAAATATATATATATAATATAATATATATATATATTATATATTATATATATAATATTATATATATAATATTATATATATATATATTATATATTATATATATACATACACCTTTTCTGGATTTTGGGCTTCAACAATCCGACTTGAAGCTGTCCAACTTTGACCCATAGTCATCCTAGGCTCTGCAAGAGTAGGCGCCAAAACTTGGTTCATCTCCATCTCTAAGAGTTTTGAAGGACTCGGGGACCCTATGCACATGATCAATCTAAATCAACATAAATTGACCTAATTCAACATACCCTCTGGTAAACTAACATAGCTATTGAAAATGGCCATATATAAGAATTTACCCATTGAAATGATGATTTTCCATAGTTACGTTAGTTTACCAGAGGGTAAATCAACATAGAATCGACCTAAATCCACGTAGATCAACCTAAATCAGCACAAGTCAAAATACATCAATATAAATTAGCATAATTAAGTCAACCTAAACCAACCATAAACCAACCTACATCAACCATTTCATATCAGTTCATTTACGACTAATGTGGGTAAAACGATATGCCAGAAACCATCCCCCAGTCATCAGCATTTTTATAGGTGGTATGTTTACCATTCCCAGTCATGGGTGGTTTATTGCATTTTTGTTGCCCACATGAAAACCCATTAACATCCATTAACTGGGTGGTTCATCATTGTTAAAGATCCCACTGAAACCTATTAATTAAAACATATTAAAACCCATTAAAATCCATTAACCGTCATTAACCCAATAAAATCCCATTAAGATCTCATTATGTCCATTTTTGGATACCTGGCACCAAGTTGCTGCACCACACTCTTGCCGCGCCCTTGTGTGAGACGAGACGGCACGACGACGGCACTGGGCATCAGGTCCACGCTAGGGTGCAGGTGACATTTGAATATATGAGATATGATATGATATGATAGTATACATTGATAGTATAAATGGCAAGTGCTGATTGTGACCACCAATGATTGTAGATATATCCCACACTATCCCATATTATCCCTTGATACATTGATAGTATACATGAATATATACATACATATATATATATACATACACATACACATATGCATATGCATATGCATATTCACATATGCGTATCCATATACATATACATGCACACATAATTATAATTAATTATACACAGACAAATGATTTCGATTCATATAAATGGGCAATTATACATAATCATATATATATATATATAAATGGATACACATGGATATTACATGGATCTCATACGATCTAAATGGCCCAAAAAGGTGTCTTTGTTTCAACAGGCAAGCTATGCAGCAGCACCATTGCTACAGTTACATACAGTTACAGTATACCGGACATCTGTGAGAGGTGGATGCCTGGACGGATGCCATTATGCCTCTACCAGAGTCTTTCCAAGATATTGCAAACCATAGATTCCTTGGACCTCACGATCCAAGTATGGCACCCGAACCACCTGACAGCGGAACGAACTGGAACTGGAGCGGCGAAACCACCGACTTTCTGTTCGAAAATGTCTTCAAAATGACCGAACCCCCACTGCCCCCAAAAAATAAGAATCAGCTATTTTGGTGGATGAAGTACTTCACCATGTGAACCCATGCGTTCACACCACTTGGTGAACATGTTGAATTCTGGGAGCCACATCGCAGGTATCAGGGAGAACCTCCATTCCTTCGCGCTTGGCCAAAGCATCCAATGCTTCAAGGGCGACCTGGCAGCCAGGCAGTTCTACTCCAGGATAATGTCAACCCTGGATTAAGAGACCCCAAACGGCTGTTTAATTGGGAGGGTACCATTTAAGTATCAGATTATGACTATTGGAGGAGCAGCCCCTAATTAATAAACCATGGTTTATTAATCCGGGGTTGACATTCGTATGTGCAGATGATGTTTTCCCCAGCATTTCCATGTTTCCAACTGCTCGATCTTTTTTGGGGGTTGCCATACCGTGTGCCAAACTGTGAATTCCAAAATGTTCCAAAGCGTGAATCTCGTAGACATGGCCGCTTCCCTATTCATTTCTTGTTCAACTTCACGAGCCATCGTCGTTCCTTTGTTTCTGTTGGAGACACTTCTGGCAACATCAGACAGCAACAGAATTTCTCCGGTTCTTCATTGAAACATTACATTGAAACATTACTCCTCCCCAGCATTCAGAACGAGGGAGATATCACCCCCAGCACCTGCTGCGTCTTCTGCTGGCTGCTTGCCATTTGGCTCACCTGGAAAAACGGATCGTATGGTCAAGTCATAAATACATGGATACTCTATATATATATACATTATCTATTTTTCGGGAGAGAAAGAGATAGAGAGATGGACTAAGATACAGTCATATGCCTTAGGTAGGCTTCCTCATCAGTCCATTCCTCCTCCATATATCCTCCATCATCAGCACCTGCTCAATGTCCAGGATGCGATTCGCAATGACCTTAGGATCGCGGGGGTAAACCCACCCCGGACGGGACGGCGATTTTGGTCGGAACCTCGGGAGTTCCCATGGAGCATCACGAAACGGGTCTTGAGACCCACCAAAAGCATGGCAAAATGAATAGCAACAATTGTTGTTTTCATCAGAAATCAGTGAAATCAGTGTAAATTAAATCATCCATCATAGTTCACCAAGACAGAACTGGTTGGTGGTTGAGCCACCCCTCTGAAAAATATGAGTTCGTCAGCTTGGGATTGTTATTCCCATATACTATGGAAAAATCATCCAAATGTTCCAAACCACCAACCAGTATATCTCATTAACCATTATTAACCAGTATTAAGCAGTATTAACCACCATTGTGGCTGTGCCAAATCACCAACCAGCATATCTCATTAACCAGCATAAAGTTTACCCTCTGGTAATTTGTTACATAGCTATTGAAAATGGCCATAGAAATAGTGAGTTTTCCCATTAAAAATGGTGATTTTCCATAGTTATGTTAAATTACCCATGGTAAATCCCATTAAATGGTGATAGTTATAGTGATTTCCCATTAAAAATGGTGATTTCCCATTAAAAATGGTGATTACCAGAGGGTAAATCAGTGGCATCTGCAGGTTTTCCCCATGGAAACACCCTCCAGCCCTCCGGGACCCTCCGGGATCGGAACGAGGCCACATCGGATGTCCTGTTCTTCGAGCCTTGGCCAAAACGGCACGGCTAAGATCATCCAATTGTACCCAAACCCGAACCAATTTGCTTTAGATACATTATCTTATATATATATACTGTAATTAGAAGAGGATGTGTATTTAAGTTAATGGATGTCCAACATTTTGTTCATTGGATCACCATGGCTCACCACTTCCTTGGTGATTGATTACAAGTCATTATGGTAAACCCAATGCCATAAGCCCCCGACGCTGAGAGATGGTGAAATCTTTCAGCATCGTCTCTAAAGTAGGGTCTGCCACCAGTTTTTTTGACCATCATAAATTTAACCACTGCAATCCAAAGATCATTGTCAAACCATCATTACATATCATTACCAGTTAACCATTGTAATCCATTATAACCGGCATTAGTATAAACTGATCGTAAAATCAGTGGAATCATTATCAATCCAGTATTGATACTCGTCCATCCCTATTAATCCACTATTAACCCTAACCTAACCTATAACAATCATTCATAATTGTCATTAATGATAGCTATAGCCATAGAATTGATAACTACTTAAAACAATCATTAACAACTCATCATTGATAACCATCGTTGATGTATGACCATGAGTAAGCCACAATGATTAATCATCCATTATCAACCACTATCTTTTTTGTGCACACCATGATTCAGCCATTATTAAGCATGAATATAATGAACTCATAGACTTGCCATGTTCCATGGCTATGTTCAGTTACCAGAGGGTAACCATCACCATTATAACCATTACAATACCCATACATATCCATACAGTAACTTTAGAATAAAACGATGCCCATCATCAAATAACCATTTACAACCATCATTAACCAGTCATAAGAATTTCCCTCTGATAAGTTAACACACCCTCCTGTAATCAAACATGGCAATGATTCTTTACATAATCTTACCATGTATAGTTGATTTTCCGATTAAAACATTCATTTATGGTGAATTTTCCCGCCGCTAGCCATGTTTGATTACCAGTTGGGTAGTTCAATATACTTATGCGTATATATATATATATACACATACATACATATATATATATATATATTCCACTCTATTCTCATATTTCCCCATACTTCCCCATATGAAATCCCATGAAAAAGCAGCATTTCTGATGAAAAAAATCACGGGTTTTCTTCACCCTGCAGGGCACTGTTGCAGCAGCCGCTTGGTTTCTTCCAGCGCCAAGGTGGTTGGGATGGTCACCACGGAGAAAGAACTCCCTGGGCGTCCCGAGATCTGTGGATAACATGCAGTTCTAGGAATTCGTCCGTAATACATTATACCCTCTGGTAAATTAACATAGACCCTGGCAGATAGGGTTTGGAAGACTAGTTTCCATTAAACATTGGTGATTTTCAGGGTCTATGTTTATTTACCAGAGGGTAACCCCATAGTTTTTTTTTCTCCCCCAATTATCACAATTCCTTTAAAAAAAATCATTGCTTAATTAGGGGGTTATCACAATCTTAGGTTGTTATAAAAGTGTTATACCCTCTGGTTATGTCAAAACAGCTATTGAAAATGGCCATTTATAGTGGCTTTTTCCCATTGAACATGGTGATTTTCCAGTTCGCTATGTTAGTTTACCAGAGGGTAATGGATATCTATAGATAGATTCACTGGATTGGATTAAGGGAAAATCTTAACCGGAAACCATGGTTTTTACCATCAAATTGTTGGGGCTTTCCTGCAATTTTTCCCATAACCCAATTCTATGATAGATAGATTTAATTACTTTACTTCGTGTGATCCCCACCATGACATTTATACATTTTCACTACTGGCAAATCTTCTGGCATTCTATCTGACATATCTTCTGACATTCTATTTGACATTCTATCTGGCATATCTTCTGGCATATGATCTGGCATATCTTCTGGCATATCTTCTAGCATTCTATCTGGCAAATCTTCTGGCATTCTATCTGGCATATCTTCTGGCACTCTATCTGACATATCTTCTGGCATTCTATCTGGCATATCTTCTGGCATATATTCTGACATATCTTCTGGCATTCTATCTGACATATCTTCTGGCATATATTCTGACATATCTTCTGGCATATCTTCTGGCATATCTTCTGGCATATCTTCTGACATATCTATCTGGCATATCTTCTGACATATCTATCTGGCATATCTTCTGGCATATTTTCTGGCATTCTATCTGGCAAATCTTCTGGCATTCTATCTGGCATATCTTCTGGCATATTATCTGGCATTCTATCTGGCATATCTTCTGGCATATCTTCTGGCATATCTTCTGACATTCTTTCTGACATTCTTTCTAACTTTCTTCTGCACATTCTTTGTCCCATATCTTCCTACATGAGGTCCGGCAGGGAACACTGGGCGCGGATGGTCGCGGTTGAGGTCCGGCAGGGAACACTGGGCGCGGATGGTCGTGGTTGAGGTCCGGCAGGGAACACTGGGCGCGGATGGTCGTGGTTGAGGTCCGGCAGGGAACACTGGGCGGATGGTCGTGGTTGAGGTCCGGCAGGGAACACTGGGCGTGGATGGTCGTGGTTGAGGTCCGGCAGAGAACACTGTGGATCGCGGGTCGCAGTTGAGCAAGGACAACGAGGACGACGAGGAGGACGAGGAGGAGGAGGAGAGGAGGACGAGGCAGGACGAGGCGGAGGAGGAGGAGGAGAAGGAGGAGGAGGAGGAGGAGGCAACTGACATAAAATCTAACAACCCTCACCTGGCAGGTGGGGAAAAAAACAAATGTGTATATTTATATATAAAATAGATGTGTGTGTCATTAGTATGATTATGTGTATACATGCACGTGTACGCATGTGTGTGTGTCTGTGTGTGTGTCTTGGCAGAGATATTGGTTTTAATATAGTTCCACCCCCAAGTTGTGATAAGTTGGGTATATAAATATTGTCTTCTTGGAGCCCATGGGTTCTGTATGGAACATGGCCATCCTGTTTTGGGCTCGGATTCAACTTTCGCGCCACACATGAAATACAAAGTTCGGAATATTTCACACAAACACTTCATAAACATCCACAACTAGTATTATACTTTAATCTGTGTATATATATATATCATGAAGCGCCCCCATCGCCAAGATTTGATCCACCTATACGTGGAAGATGTAAACCCTGCCCTCGTTGACATCGCGCGAGCGGATCTTTTGCGCGAGTTGGACTGATAGCATCCATCTCGTTCCAAAAGGTTTTTCGGTATTTCTGGGTTTGTCCAAAAATGGGGTATGCCTCCAAAAGAGCAGTTTAATGATGTTTAATGCAGTTTTTGGGGAATAATTCCGACTTGTCCGGTCTATTGGATTTAGATGATTTCTCTCTCTCTCTCTCTATCGCCAGCAGGGAGACATTTAGATGATTTGGGGGCACCCAATTTCTAGATTCTACACACTCCTCACTTACGGAGCTAGATTAATTGACTGTACCAATCTGTAACAGGGCGTGCATGTAAGCACCTTGAAGGCTTAAACGCATGTCGGCGAGCACCCAATCCGGATGCATCTGGCCCTTGCAGGTTTCCTTACAGTTCGTTCTGATTAATTACAGGAGTCAACTTTTTGAATGGCTCAAGGAATATTCAACCTCAACCACCCTTTCAAATGATGTTTTAACATGTTTTAACCCCAAAAAATAGGAAATGTAAGGGCCCCTGCCTGTACAAGAGACATCTTTCGCATTTAGCCGTCAAGTTCAGGATTTTCGCTGGGCCCGCTGGGTAGCACTGAACGCAAGCGTGTCTGTGTCGGCAACCGCTCACGCCGCTCACTCTGGAGCCCCTCACTTTTTGGTGAACCACTCAAAAAGGTACAGGCAGCATAGACCACCAAGAAGATCGCAATGACCTTCATGTTTTTTTTTCATGGTTTCAAATTAAGATAACTAGCGCAGTTTGCAACAAATGAGAACCCAAATTGATAAAATGGAACATAGTGGCCTTGAAGGGACCAGTTGGTGTTAGAGCCCCACCACCAACGGCCAAAAATGCAGCCCAAATTCTCGGCCACCGAATTCCAGCAGATGGATGTACCATCTCTGTTTCAACCCCCAATCCACCAAAACACCACATCAGAAACACACTTTGAAGCCCTGACCTTTGGCCCCAGCTGGAAGTTCTCCGGCAGTATCCAGGTGCCAATCAAGGGTCCTGCGGCCTCCCCTAAGGCCGCTGAGGCGTTGAAGATGGACGACACCGCTGGCGACACCGCGTGCCGCGCCTGTGCCGCTGGAATGTCCCCCAGCTGGGCCATGGCGGCGTCCACCATGCTGGGCAGCACGGGGGTCCAGCAGAGACCCCAGCCCAAACCGATCAACAGCAGACCACCAATCCTGGTATTTGCCGAAGTTAGGACACACAAGAAATGATGTTAAAAAATATATGTTAAGACCTGGAGGTTTCCTATTTCCGGTGGCTTCACCTGGGGTAAAATCAAAGATCGATCAGCAAATGCAGGAATCTGAGAGGTCCAAGGGGACAAGAGTTCCCAGCTCCCAATGAAAAATGTTCCCAGGCCATAGATCACCTGGGATTTGCTTCAGAAATCTTCACAAAAAAAAAGCTGCTGTTTTTTTTTAAATGGAAAAAACGCTAACGGTTTCCCCACAAAATGCGGTGATGTCCCATCAAACCCATCAAAAAAAAAATATGGAGGTGTCCTAAAATTAGGGCTCCCCCCTAAAATCCTCCATTTATAGTTGGCATGTTCCATGAAACAAACCATCCAGCTATGGGGGTCTGACTGAACCTCCCATGGGATCATCAAGGAGCCAGGCCCAGTGCCATCAGCCAGCTGGCTCTGCAGCACCTCAATAGGCTGGCCACTGCCAGGGCCGCAAACGTGCTCGGTACAGCAGACAGCGACATCAGCAGGCCGATGACGGTGTGGTCCAAGGGGCCCAGGACGTCCACGAAATGCTCCCCTGGTGGATCTAACATGATCCAACCATGGGCTATGAAGATACCGACAGTAAACCACAAAAAATGGGGACATGAAGTTCTTCACCAACGGTCACCGAATGAATTCTACAACACGAACAAGACACGGGGGTGTGTGTTTCATCTGGAGGTGGTTGAGCCAACCTTTGCAAAGTCTAATTTGGATTCAGTTAAATACATTTAAATAAATGAAATTGGCGCATGCCTAGGTAAAACAATCGAATCAAATCAATAAAAAATACAAATGAAACTAGCACCTAGTCTCCCAGCAGTGGTTCGAAAGCACCCCAAACCCCCAGGCACAGGGTGGAGATACCACTCAGCAGCAGCACTTGCAGCGTGGCCACAGAACAAATCGTTACCGTGGACGCCGTGGACTCGTGGGGCTTGGAGCCTTCGGACCCTGCCTCCAAGCTGTGACCATCCTCCTTGGTGTCCTTCGACTCCTTCTCCCTGCAAAGCAGAGAAATCAAAGAGACACCAACGAAAAGCAGGTGCAAAGCGGCACTGATGATGAAAGGCAAGGAAAAGCCTCCATATTGAAAGAGCATCCCACCCAGCAATGGTCCAACAGTCACTCCCACGTTGCCACAAGTCTCCTGCAGCCCCATGACGCGATGGAACTCCCCCTCCCCTGTGAAGGTCCGTGCCAGGCGTGTGCTGATGGAGGTGTAGATGGGTGCGGTGGCCAGGCCCTGTATGGCTCGCCAGCACAGCCATCCTGCCACATTGTGGGATAGGCCAAAGCCCAGGGAACTCGCGGCCAACAGGATCAGGCCACAGTTTAGCATCATGTCCACTCCAAACCTTCGGATCATGGCATCCATCACCAGGTTCCCTAGGAAGCTGCTCGCCGGCATGGCGGCAAAAATGAAGCCAACGGTCAAGCTGCTGGCACCACAGTTGTCGCGGGCGTAGACTTCGAAGAAGGGGCTCATCCTTGAATTTGCTGATCAAGGCCCCTAAAAAAATACACTTGTGCATATATATATATATATATATATGCATACCTGGATCTTCGAAAAGGCACAAATAATTGTCCGTTTGCAAGGTTTCTGCCCTTACCTGGAAATGGTCATTTTTTGCCTACTGTGGTCACAAAATTTCGTACCTTTTGGGCACAAATAAATAGATAGATAGATAGATAGATTTAGATAGATAGATTTAGATAGATAGATTTAGATAGATAGATTTAGATAGATAGATTTAGATAGATAGATTTAGATAGATAGATAGATAGATAGATAGAGAAAGATAGAGAAAGATAGAGAAAGATAGAGAAAGATAGAGAAAGATAGAGAAAGATAGAGAATGATAGAGAATGATAGAGAATGATAGAGAATGATAGAGAATGATAGAGAATGATAGAGATAGATAGATAGATAGATAGATAGATAGGTAGATAGATAGATAGATAGGTAGATAGATAGATAGATGGATAGATAGATAGATAGATAGATAGATGGATGGATAGATAGATAGACAGATAGATAGACAGATAGATAGTAAGATAAGATAAGAAAAAGATAAGATAAGAAAAAGATAAGATTAGATTAGATTAGATTAAGATAAGATTAGATACATAGATACATAGATACACATATACATAGATACATAGATTCACATATATACATATATATATACATATATATATATATATATAATACATACACATGCAAATATATTATCTTGATAACCATAAAGCACAAGTCATCCACAACTCGCAAGCAAGTCCGGGCATCTGGTAGATCATCGCCAAGGACAAGAAATAGGCCCCCAAACAGGTCACCAGGATCACTGCACGGTCACCTGGATCCCATGGGTCGGTGTCCAACAACGAAAATAAAGATGAGTCTACGCTGGATACATACATGAATAGTGATATTAATATAGTATTATAGTCTTATATCTAATTTTATAATATTTTATATGTATAGTTGGATGGGGGTTATAAACGTTATAACCATTAAAACCCCCCAAGCATTTAACTGGGCTGTGACGTCAGAGATGTCCTGTCCCTTCCAAGCCTCGGCAGAGGCCAGACATGGTCCAGATCCTGTTGGTCAGTTTCAACCAGCTGGGTTTGAGCCAAAAAAACGGCTGAACATAACACCAATCATCACGAGGGAGGGTGACTTGGGTGTCATGGAAACATGTCCTGATGTTTGAGACGCTCATCCGGATTCAGATATATAGTTTACAAATATATATACATATGTGTGTGATTAAAATATTTATATATATGATATATCATATAGATATATATATATATGATATATATATATATATCATATATATATATGATATATATATATATACTGTGTATATATATATATATGTGTGTGTATATATATATATGTATATTTATACTGTGTATCCCCATTTGTATATATATATATATACCATCTATTTTGGGGTATCCCCATTTATGGAAAACCCCTATGTGTAGGTATCGATGATCTTCCCATTGAAAAATCTGGTCCCAGCAGCTCTCTGGGTCGGTGAAGAGCTCCTGGCGCCATGGGATTCAATGGACCATGTTTGTTCCATCTATGAATCTATGAGTTGTTTTTCTGACCATATATCATATATAATTATATATAAATATCATATATTGTTTGTTTTATATACTGAATATACCATGTATTGCCATATGATATATATTTATATACTCATATATTATATGTATTTATATAGCATTTTCAGTGGACAATGTTTTTCTGACCATGAATGATTTTCCGGACCTTTTCCTTGAAATGTTGGTTTTTGTCGGGCTGAAAATGGATGGAAAAAAAACAGATTCCTACTCCAACAGACAGTCGAAAGGTTGCAGGTGAACACATTTCACCTGAAAATTGGTCACTCAATGCCGATTGAGAATATCGTGAGAGCATTTTGGGGGGTCCTTTTGAGCAGCCAAGGGGAAACATGTGGCTCATGAACTTCTGAAATTCCATCGGCCCGAATTCAACTCATATACCAAGGCTGTGCGGAAGATCAAGGGGCTGTGCAGGTGGTTTATATATAATGTTTGCCTCTGATTAGAAGCCTGGTACCCTATTGTGAGAAATTTCTTGCTCCTAATTCAGTAACATGCTAATTGTTGGGGGGGAGCCTCTATTGTGAGAATTTTTTTCCAGATTTATTTTTTTTCAACTTTTTTTTTCCAAATGCTTTTTGTTTGAAATTAATTAATTACTTTATTTATTAATTTCTTTTTATTTTTAGTTTATCTATTTTTATTTTATTTTTTATTTTTACTTTTTATTTTTCCATTTTTATTTTAATTGTATTTACTATTGTTTCATTTTTTTCATTATTTCCTTTTTTAATTATTTTTTTTATTGCTTTATTATTCATTAACATATTAATTACCCTATGAGTGGCTCAGTTACTCAATAATATAATTGTCTGGATGGTACTCTATTGTGAGCACCCACTTTTGGGAGTGAAAAAAAAATAAAACCTTTTCTCCACCTTTCTTTGGCTAAAGCTGGTCCCTTTACTTTAGAAAGCAATGTTTGTGTTAAAGCTTTAAAATGCAAGGTTTCCCAAATAATTAGATGCCTTATTAAACCCTTATTAAAAAACAGCATCCAGACAATTTTTCAAGGTGGTACCTCATGAGTGGCTCAGTTACTCAATAATATAATTGTTTGGATGGTACTCTATTGTGAGCACCCACTTTTGGGAGTGAAAAAAAAAAGCAAAACCCTTTCTCCACCTTTCTTTGGGTAAAGCTGGTCCCTTTACTTTAGAAAGCCATATTTGTGTTAAAACTTTAAAATGCAAGGCTTTCCAAATAATTAGATACCTGAAAAAAACCATAATTGGCTCAGTTACTCAATAATATAATTGTTTGGATGGTACTCTATTGTGAGCACCAACTTTTGGGAGTGTTAAAAAAAACAAAACCCTTTCTCCACCTTTCTTTGAGTAAATCTGGTGCCTTTACTTCAGAAAGCTATATTTGTGTTAAAGCTTTAAAATGCAAGGTTTTCCAAATAATTAGATGCCTTATTAAACCCTTATTAAAAAAACAGCACCCAGACAATTTTTCAAGGGGATACCTCATGATTGGCTCAGTTACTCAATAATATAATTGTTTGGATGGTACTCTATTGTGAGCACCAACTTGTGGGAGTTAAAAAAACACAAAACCCTTTCTCCACCTTTCTTTGGGTAAAGCTGATGCCTTTACTTTAGAAAGCCATATTTGTGTTAAAACTTTAAAATGCAAGGTTTTCCAAATAATTAGATACCTGAAAAAACCATAATTGGCTCAGTTACTCAATAATATAATTGTTTGGATGGTACTCTATTGTGAGCACCAACTTTTGGGGGTGAAAAAAAACAGCAAACCCCTTTCTCCACCTTTCTTTGGGTAAAGCTGGTGCCTTTACTTTAGAAAGCTATATTTGTGTTAAAACTTTAGAATGCAAGGATTTCCAAATAATTAGATACCTGAAAAAACCATAATTGGCTCAGTGCACCAACTTGTGGGAGTGAAAAAAAAAAACACTTTCTCCACCTTTCTTTGAGTAAATCTGGTGCCTTTACTTCAGAAAGCCATATTTATGTTAAAGCTTTAAAATGCAAGGTTTTCCAAATAATTAGATGCCTTATTAAACCCTTATTAAAAAACAGCACCCAGACAATTTTTCAAAGGGGTACCTCATGAGTGGCTCAGTTACTCAATAATATAATTGTTTGGATGGTACTCTATTGTGAGCACCAACTTTTTGGAGTGAAAAAAAAAACAAAACCCTTTCTCCACCTTTCTTTGGGTAAAGCTGGCCCTTTCACTTTAGAAAGCCATATTCGTTTTAAAGCTTTCAAATGCAAGGTTTTCCAAATAATTAGATGCCTTATTAAACCCTTATTAAAAAACAACATCCAGACAATTTTTCAAAGGGGTACCTCATGAGTGGCTCAGTTACTCAATAATATAATTGTTTGGATGGTACTCTATTGTGAGCACCAACTTTTGGGAGTGAAAAAAAAACAAAACCCTTTCTCCACCTTTCTTTGGGTAAAGCTGGTCCTTTCACTTTAGAAAGCCATATTTATGCTAAAGCTTTAAAATGCAAGGTTTTCCAAATAATTAGATGCCTTATTAAGCCCTTATTAAAAAACAGCACTCAGACAATTTTTCAAGGGGGTACCTCATGAGTGGTTCAGTTACTCAATAATATAATTGTCTGGATGGTACTCTATTGTGAGCACCAACTTTTGGGGGTGAAAAAAAAAAACCTTTCTCCACCTTTCTTTGGGTAAAGCTGGTCCTTTTACTTTAGAAAACCATATTTGTGTTAAAGCTTTAAAATGCAAGGTGTTCCAAATAATTAGATGCCTTATTAAACCCTTATTAAAAAAACAGCACCCAAACAATTTTTCAAGGGGATACCTCATGATTGGCTCAGTTACTCAATAATATAATTGTTTGGATGGTACTCTATTGTGAGCACCAACTTTTGGGAGTGAAAAAAAGCAAAACCCTTTCTCCATCTTTCTTTGGGTAAAGCTGATCCTTTCACTTTAGAAAGCCATATTTGTGTTAAAACTTTAAAATGCAAGGCTTTCCAAATAATTAGATACCTGAAAAAACCATAATTGGCTCAGTTACTCAATAATATAATTGTTTGGATGGTACTCTATTGTGAGCACCAACTTGTGGGAGTGAAAAAAAAGCAAAACCCTTTCTCTACCTTTCTTTGAGTAAATCTGGTGCCTTTACTTCAGAAAGCTATATTTGTGTTAAAGCTTTAAAACGCAAGGTTTTCCAAATAATTAGATGCCTTATTAAACCCTTATTAAAAAACAGCACCCAGACAATTTTTCAAGGGGGTACCTCATGATTGGCTCAGTTACTCAATAATATAATTGTTTGGATGGTACTCTATTGTGAGCACCAACTTTTGGGAGTGAAAAAAAAACAAAACCCTTTCTCCACCTTTCTTTGGGTAAATCTGGTGCCTTTACTTCAGAAAGCTATATTTGTGTTAAAGCTTTAAAATGCAAGGTGTTCCAAATAATTAGATGCCTTATTAAACCCTTATTAAAAAACAGCACCCAGACAATTTTTCAAGGGGATACCTCATGATTGGCTCAGTTACTCAATAATATAATTGTTTGGATGGTACTCTATTGTGAGCACCAACTTTTGGGAGTGAAAAAAAAACCTTTCTCCACCTTTCTTTGGGTAAAGCTGGTCCTTTTACTTTAGAAAGCCATATTTATGCTAAAGCTTTAAGATGCAAGGTTTTCCAAATAATTAGATGCCTTATTAAACCCTTATTAAAAAACAGCACTCAGACAATTTTTCAAGGGGATACCTCATGAGTGGTTCAGTTACTCAATAATATAATTGTCTGGATGGTACTCTATTGTGAGCACCAACTTTTTGGAGTGAAAAAAACAAAACCCTTTCTCCACCTTTCTTTGGGTAAAGCTGGTCCTTTCACTTTAGAAAGCCATAGTTGTGTTAAAATTTTAAAATGCAAGGTTTCCCAAATAATCAGATGCCTTATTAAACCCTTATTAAAAAACAGCACTCAGACAATTTTTCAAGGGGATACCTCATGATTGGCTCAGTTACTCAATAATATAATTGTTTGGATGGTACTCTATTGTGAGCACCAACTTTTGGGAGTGAAAAAAAATAAAAAAAATAAATTAAAAGTAAAAGTGAAAACAATTGAAAGTAAATTGAAAGTGAATTAAAAGTAAATTGAAATCAATTGAGAGTAAATTGAAATCAATTGAAAGTAAATTAAAAGTAAATTGAAATCAATTGAAAGTAAATTAAAAGTAAATTGAAATCAATTGAAAGTAAATTGAAATCAATTGAAAGTAAATTAAAAGTAAATTGAAATCAATTGAAAGTAAATTGAAATCAATTGAAAGTAAATTGAAATCAATTGAGAGTAAATTGAAATCAATTGAAAGTAAATTAAAAGTAAATTGAAATCAATTGAAAGTAAATTGAAATCAATTGAAATTAAATTGAAATCAATTGAAAGTAAATTGAAATCAATTGAAAGTAAATTGAAATCAATCGAAAGTAAATTGAAATCAATTGAAAGTAAATTGAAATCAATTGAAAGTAAATTGAAATCAATTGAAAGTAAATTGAAATCAATTGAAAGTAAATTGAAATCAACTGAAAGTAAATTGAAATCAATTGAAAGTAAATTGAAATCAATTGAAAGTAAATTGAAATCAATTGAAAGTAAATTGAAATCAATTGAAAGTAAATTGAAATCAATTGAAAGTAAATTGAAATCAATTGAAATCAATTGAAAGTAAATTGAAATCAATTGAAAGTAAATTGAAATCAATTGAAATCAATTGAAAGTAAATTAATTAATTAAAAGTAAATTGAAATCAATTGAAAATAAATTGAAATCAATTGAAAGTAAATTGAAATCCTTTCTTAAGTTGATTGACCACAAAAATGTTGAGGGGTGGCAAAAAAAAGTGCGAGTTATAGAGTATCCTCAAATTGTTTGGGGGGGGGGGGCCCTCACACTAATCAGAGGCAAACATTATATATATATATAACCATCTAATTATATTACATACCCCAAAGATAGAAGATATTCAGCTACCATTTTTGTACCCCATCTTCTATGTGTCTGGTTTTCTGAAAGGCGTTTTAAGAAGAATCACATAGAAGATGGTGGTTTCCGTAAATTAAATGGTGGTACCCCAAAATGGATGGTTTATAATGGAAAATCCTGTTAAAATTGATGATTCAGGGGTTACCCCCATTTTAAGCTGGGAAATCCCCGTGGCCAGAGGGTACATCCATAGGGTACATCCATTTCCCTTGGAAACTGGGAAAAGATGGGAAAAGCACATCCCAGAACTGCCAAAAATCGGTCACTAAAACTCGGGTCCTGCAACTCAATCATCCGGAACTGAAAGGAGCGCACTTGGTCAGGTCCTCCTGGCTCAGCCCCGGGATGAAAACAACAGGCTGATTCGGACAGCAATTAGAAACATAGAACATGTAATTCAGAGATCCATCAAACATCCCAGATTATCCAGATTCCAAATCCTACTTTCATGGCACCCGGGCCGCCGGCGAAGCGCGGTTCTTTTGCTCAACCCAGCGGGTCGGTGGTACCATGTGGTGCCTCGGCTAAAGAATTTGAGTACCATCGGGACAAGGTAGATGTAGACCTATGGGGTTGCCGCGCTGCATCTGCCTCGCATCATAAGCAAGAACCTTGGCAAATCTCGCTTCCACATGGAGAAACTGAGAGAAACTGAGGACTGCAAGAGGTGGAGGAAGTTCGAAACCAATAAAGACCAGGGTTCCAAAAAGTTCCAAACTTCCAAACCCACAGTGTCCAGGGTGCTCCTCTCTTGAATGATAACTGTTTCCCTGGCAAACCGCCCACCCACAGCCCACCCTTCCACCTTTGCATGAGTTGTACATTGGATAAATCCAGAAACCGGGGGACTCATTGATCAAGCTTCCTACTCATTTGCCATTGGGCAGGGAAAAGAGCCGGGACCATGAAAATCACCGGCTTTGAGTTGGGTACAGTACGCAGGGGCTTGACACACAACCATTACAGAAGAACATATAGCATTCAATATGATGCAAGTATAATGATACCATATGATACCATATGATACCATATTCGATCATTACATACATATCTATATATATATACGTATACCCTATATTATTCGATAAATAGAGCGAGAGAGCATATTAGTCATATTATACATTATTATACTACATACAATTGTATAGGGTAATTACATTCAATAGTACCTGAAAATGATCCCCCCAAAGCAGATCAGGTTACGTCCCCAGCCAGCTGCTTCGCCATGGCCAGGCCCGCCCCCGGCAGCTGTTGAGCGATCTCCCAGGGCTGCAGTGGCCGGCCCTGGTCGAAGACCATGGGGCCGCCGGCCGCGTTGGCACCACCAGCGCAGCGGGGGCGCAGAACTAAACCCATGACCTGTGGGGAAGAATCCAGGAAGATTTCAGGAAAATCCAAGAAAATTTCAAGGGGATGGGCCTTCTGAAGTATAGATAGGGGAGACCGCTTTATATCCTTTATTGATGACAAGTTGAATGGAGAAAATGATGAAAATCCATGGGGATTTGGTGGTTCCTGTTTTCAGACGGACCTCGATGCCGATGTTGAGACGAGTCGAAATGTTACCCCGACTGCGACTCGGATGGTTATCGCATGTACGACTTTTCCAACGTGGTCAAATCCTGTGGTGACTACGAAACCAACTCATGTGGCAAACCCAATCATAAAGCCAATCTTTGAACGAAGACAGCTTTCAACACCCCGCAAATGGATCCAAATGGTAAAAATGCGGTACCAGGGGTACAGTCAAACGACAAACTCATGCCTAACTCATGCCTGGGTCAAAACTTGCTAGTAAATCACCATGGAATCGCTGTTTCAAGAAACTCATGCCTAAGTCATGCCCAAATCTTAAAACACCATGGAATCGCGTATGTAATAAGAAGAATGTTTCCACACTTGGGAAAATCAAATGTTCGCAAAAATCCGTCTACAGTTGCATTCTACCGTTCATGTTTCTGGGGTTGAGAAATACTTGCCGCTTCGGTCTGCTGACTTTTTTCGCTTTGCTGACTCTTTTCGCTTTGCTGCTCTCGGTCCATCAGTGGCTTCGCTCTGCCATCCGTGATTCACACCAACCAACCTCTCCTATAGGTTTCCTATTTTTGAAACCACGACGTGCCGAACGAGGTCCGAACGACGTAGCAAACGACGTCAAAAAATAACAAGAAAGGCTCTCTGCCCACCCGCCTGCGGAACCACATAAGAAACTAAAGCCGACACGAAGACACAACAATGACCCTTCTCACCTCCATCTCAAGCAACACGCTGAAGTGCCACAATGCCACGTTGAGCATGCAGTGAAAAGTGAAAATGGCTGCCGCAGCACACTGGAAAGAAAAAGATAGAAACACCAACTCATCGCTGCACTCACATCCAGTTTGACTTGGTATGGAAAAGGTTACTCTTGATGCTAAACACAACCTAAACGCAAGATTTATTAACAATATGGAAAAGGTACTCTTGATGCTAAACACAACCTAAACGCAAGATTTATTAACAATATGGAAAAGGTACCCTTGATGCTAAACACAACCCAAACGCAAGATTTATTAACAAAAACTATTCCAAAGACCAAATCCAACAAAACATTGCAATTCCTATGCGTTTCACTAAAAAGGCACGACTTTTCAAATCAAGTGCTCCCCAGCTATTTACGATGATTTCCAAATTTTAGGCACGACTTTAGCATTCCACTGTATGGTTTATTTTTGGGCATACAATGGTTTACCAAATTCCCCTCCAGGACTCCAGGAAAAGTAAACGCGGCAATGGAAAAACACCATTTTGATTGGGTCGCATGTGATGTCACATGATCTGTCTACAAATTGGGGATCTGGTAATTGCCATGTTAGGCCATGACCTGAATATCTTTGATGACTTTTCCTGAAGAAGGTGTTGTTTCCCCATCTCACCATGCTGCTGTTTGTAAGCAGTATCGCACATGGTTGTCCACCTTCATGGAGGTGTCCTATGTTTCCTAAGATGTGGGCACCGCCCAATCATCCGAAACTAAATTGGACCATTTACCCTCTGGTAAACTAACATAACTACGGAAAATCACCTTGTTTATATAATGGGTAAATCCACTTATAAATGGGCCATGTTCAATAGCTATGTTAAATTACCAGAGGGTACATATTGAAGCCCATGGTTGTAAGGGTATCTCCCCATTTTAAGAACGCCCCATATCAACCGCCAGTGTTTGAGATTGTCTGCAGGGGAGGAGATAAGCCCCCGTTGATGGTTACATCATCCATTATACCCCTATACAATAACAATAACCCCCTATAAAAATCTCCAGTGCAAACTCATCCATCTATTCTATACCGAACCAATCCCCAAAACCCCCACGAAGTCCCCATCATTCCCCTTTAAATCCCTCTTTTAATCACCACACCAGTTTGGTGAAATGATGTATCCTCCAGTAATTTAACGTAACTCTGGAAAATTGTATCTTTTCATATGTAAATCGTCATAAATCATCGAACGCTTCATCGGGGGCCATGGCCTCCAGTGGCAAACTTCGGGGTGAAATCATGACATCCCATAGATTCCTATTACAAAAAGCTATTGAAAATGGCACATTTATAGTGGATTTACCCATTGAAAATGGTGATTTTCCATAGTTATCTGCTTTACTTCCAGGAAAAATGCCGATTTTCCAGTTCGAAAAGTGTCAACGTAAGCACCACCCTTCACCTCTCAGCACTGCTCAGCACTGCTCAGCACCCCACCGGGCGCCGCGACCTCCCCGGTGAAGGACACGAGCAGCAGCCCTGCGTCCAACATCCCGCTGCGCCGCGCGGCCAGGCACAGCGCCCGGCTGTCGAAGACCGAAGCACCTCGCCCCGGGTGGAAAAAAAGAGAGGTCAACCTGGAAGATTTCTGATGAAAGGTGGGGAAAAACCAGGAAAAACGGCAAGAAAATGCATGAAAATGGGGGGACACCATGAACAAATGGTGGATGAGGAAAGATGGGAGAAAACTCTGAAGGAATGGTGAAAGATGGAGAAAAACTGTGAAGAAATGGTGAAAGATGGAGAAATGGTGGGTCCAGGGATGCTTTCAACATGGCAACAGCCAGCAAAAGACATCAGAGCTTCCAAATTCGGAACCAGATTTTTGGTCAACATTGGAGGTCAAGGCTCCATTTTCACACACGATCAGGAGGGAGCCAAGGCTCATTTTTCGAGGTTTGGAACCGTGATTTGCATCCCAACCAAAAAAAACGGCCAAAAGTCCCGCAATCATCGGATTATATATGTTCTTATACCTATATTCTAACATATATACCTGAATCTAATATCCATAGTTATCCAATGTTATCCACTAACCAACCAGGATGAACCCATTGGTTGCCACCCAGGGGACCCCAGGGGGACCCCGGACCCAGGGCGCCTGCCAGCTCCACCTGGCCCCAAGGGTTCACTGCGGCGGCGGAGGCCACGATGATCTCCAGCTCCTCCTGGGGCGCCAGCAGTGCCAAGGCGCTGATGCCCTGAAGCTCGTCCACCAGAAGTGCTAGGAGACCTGGAAAATTTGGGTGCATTTTCCAGTGATGGTTTTGATGGATGGGAAAAAGGGTGGATTTAAGTGATGGAAAAAGGATGTGAAAAATCGAGTTTCTATGGATGCTGATGGATTTTGATGTTCTATAGATTTTTCTGTGGATTCTGATGGATTTTCTATGGATTCTGATGGATGTTCTATTGATTTTAATAGATGTTCACGGATTTGGATGTATTTTCTATGGATGTTGATTGATTTTTCATGGGCTATTGATTTTGACGGATGTGTTATGAATTTTCTGCGGGTTTTGGTGGGTTTGTTCATTGATTTGCTCTATGTGTTTTTCATGAATTGTCTATGGATGTTCTATGGATTTTGATTTTGATGGATTGCCTGTTGCATGAAAATCGATGAACATCCATGAAAATCTATCAAGACCAATGAGCCTCCAGCAAAATCCATCACAACCCATGAGCAATCCATCAAAATCCACTAAAATAACACCACAAATCCATGAAAAAACACCCATCAACAAATCAAAAATCCAGCAAGAATCCATCAAAATCCATCCAAATTCATGAACGTCTATCAAAACCCATGGAAAATCAATGGTTATTAAGATCACGTGGAGGTAGGAAAATGGTTAGTATATGGCTCAAAAACTGATTATAACCATATAAGTTCTAACCCAGTTCCCATCACCAGTTAGCCAATCACCATTTGAATCAATGAGGGGGTGAAAAACGGATGGTAAACATGGTAAACATGGCGCTAGTAACATGTTTTTAATATGTTTTTGATTGAGGACAACTTGGACTATACATGGTTCTTGGGGGTGGTTTTCAGGTGTTTGGGGATTCTTGGATGTTTATGGTGTTGCTTATGGGATTCTATGGGTGTATTGTAGGATTTTCTAGGGTGTCAATCCAGCAATCGCACTAACTGGGTAAAGAGCAAGCAACCCACCATCATTGGAGGTATCTCAAAATCACCCAAACATCTTGTCATAGGTCACCCACAATTTGTGTCCCAACGGGGTATCATAGGTTGTGTTCCATCCCCAGATGCTAAAGCAACCATCCACCCCCCACAAATAGTACCAACCCCCCCAAATAGTGATATACCCTGTCTGGTAATCAAAGATCGAATTTGAAAGAGATCATGTTTAGTCACTAAACCCTCCATTTCTAGGGGATTATGAGTTCCATTCCACCACCATTTCGGTTTAAATATGTGTAAATCCCCCAATTTCACCAAATTTCCAGTGAAAATCAGCCCAGCCCCCTCCCCCTGGCCACCTGCCAGTGCTGCCAGTCGCAGCTCCACCTCCTCCACCGCCAGCGCGGGACCAGCCTCCGGCACCGCCGTTAGCTGCAGAGCCAGGTCGCGGGCGAAGGCCTCGCGGTCCACGCAACGCAGCCTGGGCGTGGAGATTGTGCATGTTCCATCATGTTTCATCATGATTAACTAGTTCAATTCAATGTATAATATATGTGTGCGTGTGTAATGGACTGTAATGGTATGTAATGAAATGTAATGGAATGGGATGGAATGTACTGGAATGTAATGGAATGTAATGGAATGTAATGGAATGTACTGGAATGTAATGGAATGTAATGGAATGTAATGGAATGTACTGGAATGTAATGGAATGTAATGGAATGGAATGGTATGGAATGGTATGTAATGGTATGTAATGGTATGTAATGGTATGTACTGGTATGTAATGGAATGGGATGGAATGTAATGGAATGTAACGGAATGTAATGGAATGTAATGGTATGTAATGGTATGTAATGGTATGTAATGATATGTAATGGTATGTAATGATATGTAATGGAATGGGATGGAATGGGATGGAATGTAATGTAATGTATGTAGGTAGGTATGCATGCACGCATGCATGCTACATGTCTATCTGTCTATCAACATCTATCATTATATATCTATCATTGTCTACATATCATTATCTGTCAGTATCCATCATCATCTATCATTATCTATCATTATCTATCATTATCTATCTATCCATCTATCCCTCTCTCTCTCTATCTATCTATCTATCTATCTATCTATCTATCTATCTATCTATCTATCTATCTATCTATCTATCTATCTATCTATCTATCTATCTATCTATCTATCTATCTATCTATCTATCTATCTATCTATCTATCTATTCTCTATCTATCTATCTATCTATCTATCTATATCTATCTATCTCCATCTATCTATCTATCTATCTATCCATCTATCCATCTATCCATCTATCCATCTATCCATCTATCCATCTATCCATCTATCCATCTATCCATCTATCCATCTATCCATCTATCCATCTATCCATCTATCCATCTATCCATCCATCCATCCATCTATCTATCTATCTTTATCTATATTTATCTATCTATATCTATCTTTATCTATCAGTATCTGTCTTTTTCTATCATTATCTATCATTATCTATCAGTATCTATCATTATCTATCTATCTATCATTATCTATCTATCTATCATTATCTATCTATCTATCTATCTATCTATCTATCTCTCTCTCTCTATCTCTCTCTAATTATACATACGAAGTGGACCCCAGTACTTCATGATCTTCATCTGAGGCACTCGGGTTCAGGGCCCGGTCGCAGAATGGCCTTGAAGTTCACGATGCCGGCCCTGCGGAGCCTTGGAAAACTTCGGACGCATGGCTGCCACTTGAGCTAAGCTCTTTTGCCAGGCTGCTGGAACAGGTGGAGGGCATGGTTTAAACATACTAGCATGTTTGAACTTGATACATGTTAAGGCATAGAAACTATGGTCAATGTGGCTTTGAAGGGTGATTACAGTACTCAGTAATAGTAATAGGGCAGGATAAAGTGTCCAAGCGTTGTCATGCAGCCTTTAGATATCTCTAGATGATCCTGGGGCTGCCCAAAGGAAGGATCGGCCTGTTGACATCTGGAGTTTCAATGCCAATCCCTTCACTTACACATGACAAATTTTCCAAGTGGAATCCAAATCGAGCAATCATCTGACACCTGTGACAGAATTATATACCTGTCACATACCTCAAGATTTTCGAACCGCTCAAGAACCAGCAACCTACCCCTTTGCACGCAAGGAGCTGGCCATCGCTGAGATGCGGAAAGCTCGAGAATTCACAGTCGGATTTTTCACGGCAAACGCCCCCGATGAAGCTCGCGAGAGCAGCCCAACTCTTTCCTTAGCAGCCCAAAGTCCTGGTGAAGTCCCATCAGCCCATAGTGCCATAGGAAAACCATGGGGAAACCCCAAAAGAAATAAAAGACCTAAAGTCAAATCCCAGTCTTCCACTCAACTCTTCTTTGGTGGCGTAGTCGTCGCACCATCGGTCCAACATGTTTGCTCGACATCTCCTTAGCCAAAAGGGCTGCTAGGGCTATGCTAGGGCTGGGGTGCCGTCCTGTGGAGGTCAATGAGGGGTCTCCTGCTGTAACTTAAGCCAAGGAATGCCAAGGAATGCCAAGGGGCTGGGACATTCGATACTCCTGCCCCTTCTTCAACAGCAAGGGTTCCATCAAGGGCTCCCAAGCATAGAAGCCATCCACTCGTGAGGTGGGTCCCACCAGGGCAGATGCCAGGCATTCCTGGCTCTTCGTATCCCACACGGAGACTAAGGCGGCTTCCATCAAGGGTGGCTCCGCACAACGACCCAAGGCGGTGATTTCAAAGTCCTCAAGGCTGATTGGGACAATCCTGATACTTCGACAATCTTCGACAATGTAGTGAGCAATGTGTTTTCGAATGTTCACCTCTTAATCACATCCACATCTGGAGGCCCAGGGTCTATTTTTTAATACTGAATCTTGTGTCTTCTGCCTGCAGCCCAAGATCCATCTCTGGAAGAATTTTGAATCCCGCCTGTCAGCGGGTGTCCACAATGATGGCAGGATAATGGCAGGAACACAGTGAGAAAAAAAAAACAACAGTAAAATGATTTGAGGCGCGAAACGAATGTTCTTCCAAACTTCTTGCAAAAATAGTCCTTTCAAAATACCTCAAGACAGTATATATAGTTACGTTTCTCTTTTTAGGTGTTCAACCCGATTCAATCCCTTTCCTTTTCCACCCGCTTTCATCGTTTTCATCCCAGAGTTTCATCCCAGCCAACCTCTCCCTCATAGTCGTTGCGCTTTCCCGGCCAGTGGCCACAAAAGAAGGCTCTGGAAGCCGGATCCTCCTTGAGCACCGCTGGGGGCAGGGCCCGAGGGCTGCGCAGCGGCTGCCGCCGCTTTTTGGTGGATCCGCGACTCTCAGCGCTGACACGGCTGCGACTTTCGCTGGCCTTGCCTTCGCTGATCACCTGGGGCTGACAGAAACACTGGTGATTCGGGAGTCAGAAAACCCACAAGTTCTCCATCGAATCCCATTGATGGTATGTTCAATGGCCATGGCGGCCATGGGCTTCCAGACCTCCAGCCCCACCTCCGATTTCTCCGTCTCCAACGGCACATTCGGCACTGCCAGTGTCGCTGCCGGCACCTCCACAGGCAATGCGCGCGGCGGCGGCGCCGGCGCCGGTGCTGGCGCTGCACGGACCACAGGGGCTGCGGCCTCCAGCGGCTTGGGGTCCCCGGAGCAGATCTTGTCCACCAACTCACCCAGACAGGCGCAGAGATTTTGAGTCATGGCGATTTTACCCCCAGGCCCAAAGGTGAAGTGTGTTGTTTGTTGGTGATGTGTTTTTTTAAACATGTCTGGGCTGTTTGGGAGATGTGGCAAGGTCTGCGTAGACCATTTGCTGCTTTTTTGGGAGGGTTCGTTGGACGTGGAGGTGGGGGTGGCATGAGTCAATGGCTGGGTCTTGGCTCATGTTGTTCTGAATTTTTCAGCCATCACAGCTGCACCAAATCGACACGCTGCATCCCCCTGGTCAAATTCTGGGCGGTATTCTCAAATATTCTCACAGCATCATTTTTTTGGTGGGAACAAATGATACAAGGTGGTGCCCCATACTTAGCTAAGTTGGTTTATAAATGTTTGTAAGCCCCATTCAGTATAGCTTAGATCATATCTACCAAAAAAAACATAGTTAGCCCCACTAAGAATAGCAGAATAGATATCTCTACCATAAGCCAAGACTTAACCAAGGCAGCTCGATTCCGGGAACCGCTCCGCTCCTTTGGAACCCGCCAGCCAGCCGAAGCGTTCTCTGAGGCGTGCCACACGTTCTGCAAGGCGCTCCAAGAAGTCAGGATAGCTGAGAAGACGAACAGCATGGCCTGGATCTAGTGATTGTTCTAACATGTTCTAACCCTGGTTCTAACCCTGGTTTTATCGTGAATTTTAGGGTGCTTTTATAGACTTTACAGTGATTTATGGTGGGGAAAATGGTGGTTTTCTGGTGATGTATGGTATTATGAATTGATGTTAAAAAATGGAGGTGTCCCAATCCAAAATGGGGATGTTTGCATGTGTTCAACCACTCAGGAAAAAACGCACCTTTTTCTTGCACCAAAGGTGATAGTTCTTGGGTTTGTTTAAGAACTCACTTGTGGCCAGAAACCATGGTTTTCACCATCGAAATACACCGATTTCTTGTATAGCCACCTTGAGCCACCGAACCCCCTGTGGGTTGATCATCCCAATGTTGGATGAAAAGGACCAAAAAAAAAGGTAGGGATGGGTGGTTGGGTTGATGCTAGCTAGGGGAAGATGGGGAAAGCTTTGTGGAAAGAAATCATGGTTTGCTCAGTTTGCTCAGTTTGCTCATCCAAATATGGGGTAGCTGTAGGCTATTTTAAACTTTCCCTGATCATGTTTGGTCTCTTTGACAGCTAAATCTCCGCTTGAGGGATGCTCCAGGCTGCCCCTAACCTCAACAACCACACAATTGGCCATGGAACAAACCCCCCATTTTTAAAAAAATTGAATCTCCAAAAATGCCCACTTACAAATAACAATGGGGTGAAACCAGCGGTTGGAATCTTTATCAATACTTGGATGGGCCCAACTAACTAATCAGGACTGCAAAAGGGCATAGATATTCATAGTTAGATCATTGAAGCCAAGTTTGTGGCTGATGTGAATTTCAAGCAAACAATCAAACGAAAAGATTGTTTGACAACTGCAACTCAAACGGCACTTAATTACCCTACTACGGCCTGTCGGAGCTGTGTCGATGATGATGCGATCAAAGTTTTCCTGCTCCCAAGAACTCTCCATTTGGCGCACAGATATCGCAGAACTGACAATGTCGCACACAAATTCTCAAATTCTTTGGGTATGTTTGGATGTTGCATACACCATTAATACACCATGCCGTATTTAAAAGAATTGGGCACTTTTTTGGAATATCGTCATGTTGGGTCTAACGGGCCCAAAAAACGTCCTTGGTTGTTGAGCACCAGTTACACCTCAAAAAAGGTGACCGGTAAAGGTCCAGTTTTAAAGATCTGTTATATTGACCAAGCAAATGTTTGGTCGGTTTGTTGGTGGCTCGGTCGACCTGTAAACGCGCACTTTCTAATGCGCTTTTCCCATAGGCACAGCGTGTTTTTGTGCATTTTTTACCACGTGTTTCGTGGGGTGGGGTGGTTTTTTTTGGGGGTGGGATGATAATCATGTTACGCGTGATGCACAACGCACTGCGATGTTGATGTAATGTTCGTGCACGCTGACATCGTTACGCAGTGCTACGTTGATGGATGGGGTGGGGTGGGGTGGGATGATAACGTTCATGTTACGCGTGATGCACAACGCACTGCGATGTTGATGTAATGTTCGTGCACGCTGACATCGTTACGCAGTGCTACGTTGATGGATGGGGTGGGGTGGGGTGGGGTGGGTATTCAAATTGAGAAAGACAACGCTTGGCTCCCATGAAAAAAAGGAGTGGACACGCCTCCCAAAACTAACACCACGAAACCCTCATATACGTGGTAAAAAATGCACAGACACACGCTATGCCTATGGGAAAAGCGCTTACAGGGAAACGACAATGTCACGCCTAAGTCATGCCTAGCATGTTTTTGAATGGCATTTACCATTGTAAACGCTGTATCCAAGAAGTCATGCCTAAGTCATGCCTAAATGCTTTTCTGCATGGAACGCTGTCCTCAATAAAAGTGTAACCATGCATTTTAGACATGAAAAACCAATGAAACACAATGGAACGCGATTGATGAAAATATTGGTTTTCTACTCTCTTATAATGCAATTCTCGTGTGCAACCTGCATGTCAACGCTGGGATTCTGCATCATTATTTTTCTATTCTCTGGGTCACTTCCCAGTACTACTTTGTACTACAAAGCTTGCACAAACTACTTCCCAGTACTACTTTGTACTACAAAGCTTGCACAAAGCACTTCCCAGTACTACTTTGTACTACAAAGCTTGCACAAAGCACTTCCCAGTACTACTTTGTACTACAAAGCTTGCACAAACTACTTCACAGCACTACTTTGTACTACAAAGCTTGCACAAAGCACGTTCCAGTACTACTTTGTACTACAAAGCTTGCACAAAGTACTTCCCAGTACTACTTTGTACTACAAAGCTTGCACAAAGTCCTTCCCAGCACTAATTTGTACTACAAAGCTTGCACAAAGCATTTCCCAGTACTACTTTGTACTACAAAGTTTGCACAAACTACTTCACAGCACTACTTTGTACTACAAAGCTTGCACAAAGCACGTTCCAGCACTACTTTGTACTACAAAGCTTGCACAAAGCACTTCCCAGTACTACTTTGTACTACAAAGCTTGCACAAAGTACTTCCCGGCACTACTTTTTACAACAAAGCTTGCACCAAGCACTTCCCAACACTACTTTTTACTACGAAGTTTGCACGAACTACTTCCCAGTACTACTTTGTACTACAAAGCTTGCACAAAGCAAATTCCCAGTACTACTTTGTACTACAAAGCTTGCACAAAGCACTTCCCAGTACTACTTTGTACTACAAAGCTTGCACAAACTACTTCACAGCACTACTTTGTACTACAAAGCTTGCACAAAGCACATTCCAGTACTACTTTGTACTACAAAGCTTGCGCAAACTACTTCACAGCACTACTTTGTACTACAAAGCTTGCACAAAGCACATTCCAGTACTACTTTGTACTACAAAGCTTGCACAAAGTCGTTCCAAGTACTACTTTGTACTACAAAGCTTGCACAAAGTCCTTCCCAGTACTATTTTGTACTACAAAGCTTGCACAAAGCACTTCCCAGTACTACTTTGTACTACAAAGCTTGCACAAACTACTTCACAGCACTACTTTGTACTACAATGCTTCCACAAAGCACGTTCCAGTACTACTTTGTACTACAAAGCTTGCACAAAGCACTTCCCAGTACTACTTTGTACTACAAAGCTTGCACAAAGTCCTTCCCAGTACTACTTTGTACTACACAGCTTGCACAAAGCACTTCCCAGTACTACTTTGTACTACAAAGTTTGCACGAACTACTTCCCAGCACTACTTTGTACTACAAAGCTTGCACAAAGCACGTTCCAGTACTACTTTGTACTACAAAGCTTGCACAAAGGACTTCCCAGTACTACTTTGTACTACAAAGCTTGCACAAAGTCGTTCCCAGTACTACTTTGTACTACAAAGCTTGCAAAAACTACTTCGCAGCACTACTTTGTACTACAAAGCTTGCAAAAAGTCCTTCCCAGAACTACTTTGTACTACAAAGCTTGCACAAAGCACTTCCCAGTTACTACTTTGTACTACAAAGCTTGCACGAACTACTTCCCAGCACTACTTTGTACTACAAAGCTTGCACAAAGCACTTCCCAGTACTACTTTGTACTACAAAGCTTGCACAAAGTCCTTCCCAGTACTACTTTGTACTACAAAGCTTGCACAAAGCAATTCCCAGTACTACTTTGTACTCCAAAGCTTGCACAAAGCACTTCCCAGTACTACTTTGTACTCCAAAGCTTGCACAAAGCACTTCCCAGTACTACTTTGTACTACAAAGCTTGCACCAAGCACTTCCCAACACTACTTTTTACTACAAAGTTTGCACGAACTACTTCCCAGTACTACTTTGTACTACAAAGCTTGCACAAAGGACTTCCCAGTACTACTTTGTACTACAAAGCTTGCACAAAGCACTTCCCAGCACTACTTTGTACTACAAAGCTTGCACAAAGTACTTCCCAGCACTACTTTGTACTACAAAGCTTGCACAAAGCACATTCCAGTACTACTTTGTACTACAAAGCTTGCACAAAGGACTTCCCAGTACTACTTTGTACTACAAAGCTTGCACAAAGGACTTCCCAGTACTACTTTGTACTACAAAGCTTGCACAAATCACTTCCCAGTACTACTTTGTACTACAAAGCTTGCACAAAGCACTTCCCAGTACTACTTTGTACTACAAAGCTTGCACAAACTACTTCCCAGTAATTACTACTTTGTGCTACAAACTGACATGATGACAACCTGCTTGGAAACCTTCGAAAAGGAGAGGTTTTGCAGCTTCCCCCATAGACACGGAATTGACGACGCGACGACGACGCGACGCCGACCCGACGACGACGCGACGCCGACCCGACGACGACGCGACGAGCCACTCGAGGCGAACAAGGGTCCAGCCCCCCCAGACCCCCAGACTATAAACGGGAACCCTTCGCTACGCATTCGGGGAAAAACCGGATAACTGGGATGAACATCCAAAATCATCAAATCACCAGCTGAACGCCATCTTACCTATAACTAATCAACATACCCACAACCTGGAATTCTGCATGCTAATAGTGATCAGCTACGTGATCTCATAAGAAAACGGGTTACATATCCAAACTCCAGAGTTCCTATGCGTTCTTGCTAAAGGCACGACTTTTGCGAAACACACTTCCCCAAGGCACAACATTTTTTTCCTAAAACAGGTACGACTTTGTCAGATACCTGTAATGAAGCGCGCGTTTACAGGACGACCGAGCGTTGTTGGTATACCAGGTTTTTCATAGGTAAGTCAATGTAAAATCATCTCACAATGGCCATTGAAAGCCAAGTTTTTCCCGGCCCGTCAACGGGTCCTTCACTTTCTCAAGGACTTCAGTGAGCGCCACAATCTCATCGCTACCCGGCGGCAGGGTGTCGAACAAATCGATGAAGTCCTGGCTTACTCGGTGCTGGGGGGTGTGATTTCGATCGTTTGTTTCTTTAATGGGGGATTGGAGGGACATAATGGGGAATGTATATATATAGAGAGAGAGAAAGAAAGAGAAGAGAGAAGCATCAACAATTTTTGTGGTTATTAAAGAATTATACATTATATCAACCATCAACTTACAAAATCGATGAAAATCGTAAAATAAACAATGACCATCTGGGGATGGTCATTGTAAAACCCACAAAAATTGTGATGTGGGGATGCTTCATTATTGGTTTTGCCACATTATAACAGAATATAATAATAGAATACCGCGTTATAATGCGTTATATATATATGTATGTATACTTGTCTATTTATTTATTTATTTATTTATTTATTTATAACCTTCAGATCAACAACAGGGACTTAACTATCCTCAATAAATTGTGTCATATTTCACGACCGGAGGGTAACCATGGAGAACTCCTATAGGATGGGTTATTGGGTTTATCTGTATATAACTATAATGTCCTCCCGTCGATGGATATTGATGGGAAAGTAGGACAACTTAATGCGATGGCTTAACCGCAAGAGTATTACCCTCTTGTACGAGTAGCCTAACATAGCCATGGAAAATGACCTATGAACGATTACGAAAGTAGATGATTTACCTATTGATTGTATGGTGGTTTTCCAGAGCAAACTCTTAGATTACCAGAGGTAATGGGATGTCTCTGTCCAATCTGGGTATAACCATGGGAAATTTACCCCATGGTTGGTTGGAATAGTAAGACTGTTTGCGAATGATTTTGGAGGTGGTGCGACGTTCAATGGGAGGTTGAATAACATGTCGATTTGTTTCTTGGGGGTAGCCCCACTCTTTATAAAATGTGTAAACCATCAGGAGCTATCAAATTTAATCCAACGTTGACATTCTTCAGTTCTGATGATCACATTTTGAGTTAAAAACACCAAAAAGGCATCAAGAGGCAATCTTTAAACTTTAAACCATTGAGAATGTGGAAATTGCTGGAAATTGAAGGCTTTTTGGATCTTTTTGGCAGATTTGACTGCAGATTTGGCATGTCATTCCCTGCAATCATCATTGCACCTTTTCTTTCCGTCCTGCATGGGCAGTTGTTTCAGCACTTGTCCCACCAGGCCCTCGTTTTGTCGCTGCTGCAGCGCCTCTCGGACCTAAACACAGCGAGGCGTCGTCGAGAAGGGGGAAAGGGGAGGTCAACGTCTGGTGATCAATCCATGTGTGCCAAAGTATCAACAATGGTTATGGATTGTTAATGGTTTATATGGTTAATATTGGTTAATGGATGCTTAAGGGCTAATGGTTAATGATCAATGGTTAATGAATGGTTAATAATGATGGATAATGATGGCTAATATGGTTTATGATCATTAATGGTGATGATTCATAGTAATTATTCGTAATGATCATCAAAGGCATACTAATGGCATATACCACAACATACCACAACCATTTAGGTGATCCCTCTCTTCTACTTTAGCTTCAACACCAGATGCTGAAGATGTTGGAGAAACTGCGGCTGCTCGGCTGCCCACATTTCGAAGATGCGTCGGCAACCGTTGCAGGTCTTCTTCGAAGATTCAAACTATCTTAAAAACCTCCCGCTGAATTTACATCTGAGGGAGACTTCCTATGTTTTAAAGGATGGGTTAGCTAAGTTCATGAAAGCTATACAAAGATATACAAGTTGAACTTCCCACCTGGAAAACGACAGTGCGCTGAGATCTGGCACTATCTTCAAAAAAGTGTGGAAGTCTCTGATTCAATTAGCTGAAGTGTTTCGAATTTCAAAGGCACCGAAACGCATTTCCACAAGCTTCAAGCTTGCGTTTTCAAACACCAACCACACATATTCCTCACAAGGCTGTGGCTGAATTAGAAACTGCACTTTCAAAAATAGGTTTGTCCGATAGGACACCACAGAAAACTGATGTGTACTCATCTCCATAATTTCATCTTCGTTTTATGAAAAACACTGGTCGCTGGTCGTCTAATTTGGGGCATCCAAATTAGTTCTTGAGACAAACCTTGGCGTTCCTTCGTGGTAACTTCCTTCCGAGGTCATCCCAAGGTCTCATGGAGACCGCGGGTATGGCGACGGCTTTCAGGATCAGGCAGGCTGGATGGGAGATGGAGCAATTCCCACAGGTCCACAGAGTCCAGAGTGGGTGGTGGTGGTGCGGACTCCTAAGGAGGGAGCTACCGGCACCAGGTGCGAAGGACTAGGATGTCCTATGTTTTCTGAGGAGGATGAGGATGAGGAGGCTGAGGAGGATGATCATCCCTTCCCCTAATACTAGATACCATCCCAGAAATCCTGGTGTGGTATTGGATGTGGTGACAAATTGGGGCCCCTTCTTACCGGAGGCTATTTCGTATCTTTTATATGATCGGGGATGGGATTCAGCACGGGGAGGAAGAGGTTTGTTCTTATCATTCTTATCTTTTTGCTGATTATGACAACAACATGTTTTGCTTTTACCAATCTTCTCAGATCATGATCCATCATGATCCATCTATACTAACCCAAAAAAAGAATCAAAAAGATGGAAACATAATTGATCACTAACATTTAGCGGGACTTAATTTTAGTGTTCTATCTCTTTTGGAGGTACTATACATATATTATGACAATCTCGCTAAAGGAAAATGCCTTGAAATGTCAAGGCACTAGCTTCTCCAGCATCAACGGCTCTGCGTTCCTCCGGAAATGGTTTCGACGCTGCTGCAGAGCCGGTAACGACCAGCGGTGGCTAGGCTCCACAGGGAGGGACATGGTAACCATCTCCGCGCCTACCTTGGGAGTGGATGAATTCGGGGAGTTCAGAGCTGCTTCAACAAGAAAATACAAAAATGGAGGGATCTGAGCAACACATAGCATTGTCAGACTGCGATTTTGTTCTAATTGTGGTAGATGATACGATTTTCTCGGATTTTCGATGGAATTCCGTGATTTCGTGAAAAATCCATTTTTTGGAAAGAATAAACATGAGCATTTGTTTGAGAACATCCAGGGGGCCCTTATGGCTGAGCCCTTCCTCAAAGGTGGTAGCAAAGTCCTCGAAAGGCTGTTGGATCTGGAGAATGTCGCGCTGCAATTCCTGGGAGGCTCAGTGAACTTGGACATGGCCGAGCCTCGACGGCGCGTTAAGGAGCTACTGGTTTTTTTTAAGCTGGTTGGGCAAGAAAGGGCTGCAGAACGTGGAGAACATGGTGAGGTTTGTTACTAGTTTTACGTTTTACGTTTATCACATAAACAATGCACTGACTGAGTCGAAACTCGAAACTCGGCCCTTTTGCTTGCTCGTTTATTGCTGGGATGCCACAGCTGACAAGGCAGGTTGGCAGGAAAAGCAGCGAGAGAAAAACTGGTCGGTGGTTGACAAGCTGAGCCACCCCTGAGGACGATTGGAGTATCAGTACAAGGTACTGAACTAGTGGATGCAAAATAGGAAGGAACATGTTTAACATACCTCTTGCAACCACCGGCCAGACAGGCTTTCGGATTAAAACCAAAAGACATTGGTCTCCACTGCGTCGGCTGAACCGGAACAAGTCGCTGCAAAGCATTCAAAAGGCTTGCACTTCGAAAGTTAAAAATTGCAAATTGGATCAAATTGGTTGGTCCAAATATAGGGGCAGCCACATACCCCACTACGGGGGCAATTTTCATTTGATCTAAACTATTGGCCTGTGCATACTATGTATCTTTGGGGTATCCCCATTTTGGGCCATAGCGAAATACAAAGAGACGCTAGGTCTGGGCCCAGCGTCCTGATGGCGACGCAAGGCCTTTCTGAATTTGCCTGAAGCGCTTATCTGCGCCAAAAGCAACGAGGACTTTGTCTGTGTCCAATCGAAAAGGCCTTGCTGATCCCGCCAACTCACAGCTTCTGCTGCGGCTAAAGCCACAGGTATATGAAAAATCCTGGTTTTCCCAAAAGAATGCTCCATGTCCATTTCAATGTCATCCAATGAATCTGGCTTTATCACATAATATGCCCATGGATTTTCCATATATATATTATATCTTCACTGGAGGTTCATGCCCTGCCACTTGCATCCCGCGCCAAAGTTCGATGGCGGTAGCTCTCTGGGTCAGGAAGGCTGGACGAAAGGAGTGCGAAGACCTCCTGTTTCACAGGCCCTTCCTGGCTCCGGTGACCGCACGCAAAGAAACGCACGGTTTCCCGTGGAATTAGCTTGGCAATGGAAAACCTCCCACAATTTCATGTCTATACATGTCTATACTATCTACATATTAAATAAATAAAATGTATATGTGTCTTGTTCATCCTTTATTTGCATACGCGCAGTGTGCATATACATATATAATGTATACATGCATCCTACACATGATTTCCCCAGTAAAATCTTGTGGTTTCTCACGTTTGACCAGAGGATATCTACCCAACATATCAAGGCCATCTCAATGCCAAATCAGCCCTGATTTGGCGCAGGAATGGTGCGAGAAAAATCACGCCCAAAATGATGTGTACAAGATGTGTTACCCAAATTATCCCACATTACAACATTACGATCTATTCAATCTATTCCGATATTGCCTGAAAGCCTCTGAAAGCCTAAGGCCCTGCCGCCAAGCGTCAAACTTCTCCAGCACCAGCGGTTCTGAGTCCCTCCGGAATTGCCTTCGTCGTTGCTGCAGTGGCAGGCCCTTGTTGCCGCACGTCGTCCAGTCGCCCGGTAGGGACATGGTCCCCACATCACCAAGACACGTCCTGAGTCAAGTGGGTGGAAACCAACCACCAGCAGGGATGGAAAGAAAAATGCTTCACATGGCTTAACGGGATTTATGTGTGTATATATATATATGTGTGTGTGTGTGTAATACTATTACTATATATATATATATAAGGGTTTCAGATGATGGAACTGTAACATATTGTCCTCAAGAAAATTACACCAGGTTATCACTGGGTCCATGGGGGATTCTCAGTTACTATGGTTACTATGGTTCCTTTTTCCATGGGTCATTCGCCTTTTAAGATCTTTTTTTGGCCCAGCTTCAGATCCATCTGGGGCAACTCTTCCATGGAGAAACTGGAGAACTGAGCTCTGCCGGGCGCTTCAGAAGTGGCGGCCCCATCCTCAGCTCGAGCGAATCCTGCCGCGCCTTGCGCCGAGGTCGATGGCAGCTTGGCAGGCTTCGACATGGTGACAGCTTTTTTTTCGCCTGGAAGCTGTAAGTAGCAAAAAATGGCTGCATGATGTTCAAGTATGTTCAAGCAACGACCCAAATGGCCCAACATCACATGAGATCAATGAGATCGTTTGACCATGTTGAAGCAGATGCCTTTGAAGACAATATCGTGGTGGCTAATGGGCATAAAATCATCCAAAATCCCGGTATCCCATGATATACCCATTATCTAACTAGCTGTGATCCCCATATCGGCTTCATCTCCCCCTCCCAATCATCCCAAGTTGGGCTCCCCAAACAGTCTCCTGGAAGCGCTGCATGGCTGCAGCCGTGTCCACCTCCATTGCAAAGAGCTCTCCGGCTCCAGCGAAGCCCTCGACCGGTTGGGCTTTCGCCTCGGTCGAGATGGATTCTTCAAAGCCAAGATGAGACATGATGAATCCCCAGAAACTCGGGAGGGTTTGATGTCAAATTTCCTGCCTCAAAGCTCCAAAGAATAGCAAAAAGGATCATGTACTTATGGGTTGGAAAGCTGATTTGGGGAACTCATGGTGATAAAGCTAATATGGCCATATGGATCCATATGGTTGCTCTGCCTGGGTTTTTCTTTCGCACCGGGCATGCTAAATTAATCCTTAGGATTCAAACTGCCACTCTTGCTTGGAGGTTTGGGAGTCTGCTTGCTCCACATCCCTCTGGCTAGATGCATATGGCAAGACCATCTGTCTGCCACGGAGATATTTCAAAATGACAACTGCTGCCAGGATAGCTGTGATACCCACGACAGCCAGGCAAATCCAAAGCACAAGCTGCTCTGAATTTCCACTCTCTTTGGACTCAGCTGAGTCTGTGCCACAACTGGTTCCCTCTCCTGCCACCCAGCTCAGCTGGGCAGCACTTTTACCATTGCGACCTTGCCACTGGAGGCCCACGAAGAGTGACCGCAGATCACCAAGGACCTGCGGATCGACTTGAACCGCCAGAGTGGTCACCCTGCCCGTGTCCAACTCCGAGCTCGAGCTGCTGACCACCAGCCCTGCTGCTGTGGAATCAGCCAAGGCAGTGTGGAGGTGGCCCCAGGACCAGCGAGTGACCAGGATCCCCTCTGCGGACGTGGGCTGCTGGATGCGCAGCCGGTATTCACCGGCTCCGCAAGTGATCTCGAAGGTGTAGAAGGACCACTGCCAGGGTTTCCTCAGTTGTGGCTGGGAAAGATAAGGAAGAAACTGGAGAAACAAGCACAAGAACTTTAGGGGAAATCCATGCCCATGCAAAAATTGAGCTTGTGGTTTACACAGCACGAGACCAAGGAAAACTTACGAGGATGTGAATGGATCTAAATACATGTAGCTACAAACATAAAAGGTGTAGAATATAGAATCTAATATATACATATATATATAGATATACGTAGATATAGATGCCGATGCATGATTGAGCGACATTGGTGTGTGTTCACAGCCCAGGTTCAACTCCTGCGCTGACACCGGCTGGGTGCTGTCCGTCAAAGGTAGCGCAACAGCTTGCTGATCACAGAAAGGACCCAGGTAGGGTGGGAAGCATCTGCAAGCCCATTGGTTTTCTTGGAACCTGGTTCCATTCGTTTTTGATTAGCTGTGACAGGAAAACAATGGAACACATCTTGTTTATTCTTTTTTACCTTTGAATCGATGGTTTCCCATCTGAACATGGCTACGAACCATTACGAACCAGAATGGAGGAATCGCAAGCTTCAACTCTCTGTTAATTATTGTTAAGTGTGATGTTTCAGATAGCTGCCGCTTGGATCAAACCTTGGAGCCCCCGAAGTTTTGCACCCGCTTTGCGCGTGCTACTCAGTGGCTTGCCATGTTCTGCAAGCCATAACTGGGCACTTAAAGGCCGGTCAAAGTGATTCCGTGTCCGTTACGCTTTCAACTTTCAAAGCCTCCAGGTTTTTTTTGGGGCGCCATCGTTCCATATTTTGAGCCCATCCCACCTGACTGCCGATCCTTGGGTTCCACAGTCTGGTGCCCGTGACGTGGCACACTGCGAGAGCTGAAAGCCGCTGGCCACCAGGGAGAAAGGTTGAGGCGATCGGGTCGACACGCTTTCGGCTGTGACCTGTGTCTTTCGGCGCCAAAGGAAGCGTTTTCAATGTCGTCCTTTTAGGAAACATTGAAGGGCTAGTTTGGGATACTACCCTCTGGTAAATTAACATAGACCCTGGCAGATAGGGGGTGGAAAATTTGGTTCCATTAAAACTAGGCTATTTTCGGGGTCTATGTTAATTTACCAGAGGGTATTTGCAAATGTTGATGTTCATCCTATTGGTCGTTGAATGGAACATTCTATTAACCAAGCAGTGGGGAAAGGGCATCGGCTGGCCCTTGCCATCTTAACAGCAAAACCGCACTTATTTGTGGGGGGTGATACCCCGAATGAATCAACAGAGGTGTCATTATTCCAGAGTCTGAGGGTGACGTTATCCATGTGAAGTTTAATTCCATCATATTCTAGGTAATTGCATATGCAGATTCATTAATGTACTTCATGGTCTAAACATGTGCATGTGGAATCAGTGTCCCCCAGAGCATACTGTCTGAAGATATCCGCATTCTCGTGGTTTTGCATTGCCATCTCTTTTTGTTGCCTACTTTACTGCCTTTGAATGGAGCATCTGATCATCATCTCCCCCCCCCAAAAAAAAACAAAAACATGTGGCAGGACAACAGGGGCCTTGGCAATGCAAAACACTGAGGAGAAGCTCTCATAGCTCAACAACAAGACTTTCTCCACATTGTTCACCATGTCAGGACTTGTGCCACCATTCCCCAGGTTCACCACCCAGTTGGAGACGTCGCATAGCACTTCTAAATCCAAATCATGAACCAAAGCCCCATCATTCGATGGTGGATCGGTCCATGCCAACGTCACGGCCAGTGAAACCTGGCGGGCCCTGGAGGGCTCCGAAGAGTTGAACCAAGAAAGCATACATCGCGTTGATGTCAACTAAATCAGTTGATAAAACCTGATGGTTAAAATAAAACGCATGTTTATTAAGCAAAGCCAAAAAAAAACACATGTTTAATAAGCATAACATAGCATAACCTAATAGTTTGGCACCAAAACCTGATGCTTAAAACCCAACATAACACATCATAACACCACCCAAAAAACATCAAAAAACGGGTGCCAAGGCACCCCTTGGTCCGAGGTCCTGGCCAAACAAAATCGCTGAGGTCCTGCTAGATCCACCTGCGACTGGATCGCCACCAGCCCAGGCCCTGCGGGGATCGGAAGAAACGACGCCAGGGAGGGCACCCCAAAACCCACCTCCGGGAGCATCACGGTGGAGGCACTGGTGACCCACCTCCTGGAGCTGAAAAAAAAGGCTGCTGATGGCTGCTGGGGGACAAAAAATCCCATGGGAAAAACGCGGAATCTTTTGGTCGAGACTTCCAAAGATTCCATGAGGTGTCAAGATGTTTCAAGATGGGTTGACATGGATGTTTATCCACTCGAGCTTCGAAGATTAATTGTCGGCACAGGTGGTATTTACATCATTGAAAATGCAAATCGACCCGAGATTCCCGGATCCACCAATTCAAATTGGTTGGCGAAGTCATCTTGAATCCAGTTGTTTCTTGATTAAAATCTCATGTTCAAGCCTTCAAAACCCAAATCCATCCCCTATCCATCCACAAATCTAAACTCCATCCTTAAATCCATCCTTCACTCCTAGTAAATTAAATCTGTCTTCTCAACTCCATCGTGAACTTAACCTCCTCATCCCAAACATCCCAAACATCCCAAACATTCGAAATAAAATGGTTATCCCATGTCCCATGCCTAAAAAGAATCCTTGCAGCAAACACTCCCCCATTCCAAACAACAAAAACAGCAAAGAATCTATCCCATCCCAAAAACAGCTGGTATCAATCCGCAAAAAATGCCCAACATCTCCATAATTGCTTCATTCTACGCCCCAAAAAATAGACTAGACCACAAGAATCGGGAAACTCCCCCTAAAATGTTAGTTGGGGGATGCTAAGACAAACTTCAGACGGTTTTCCCATCCATTCCATGTGAATCATCATTTTCCCATAAATAAGGGTTTGTGCGAATCGGGGATTGCCTGTCCGATTATGTCCTGGTAGTTAGCGTTGAAGTAATTGTTCCAATGATGACGTTACACGGGCATCAGCTTCCGCATTGCTGTTCTTTACTCCAGTGCTGCAGTGGGTCTTGAGTCAAAGAGGCCAGTTTGAAGTGCCCCTTTGGTACTGGATCCTAGAGTGTCGAATTATGTGATAATATACAAGGGTCCGTAGCCTACACTCTATTCGCACCCCCCACGCATAGCCAACTTTGTTGGCTACGCGCAAAGGAGTGTCCTTTAATTGATCCACTACACTCGCAGCTGTTCATTTATTGAATTATGGAGAGCTAAAGTTCGTTCAGAACTTCATATCTACATGGCGGCTTGCTACGATCTCTACCACAAGATAAAGGTTCTGTTCACGTGCATGTAGACACGACGTAGTCGGTGTCTAGCATTGAGGTTCATCCGATGTGGCGTGCCAGCATGGACTCCCACTCAAGCATGTGAATTAAAGAAATCAAAAACACAAAGTTGACTATGGAATTAGAAGATTACCTTCCCGTTCCTTCGTCGTTTGAGATGTAGACCGCTGTAGAAACTCAGCGTCTCGTGCAATGATGTTCAAAAAATATGTGGTTCTAAATTAGCCGGCTCAGAGTCCTCTCAGAAATCATTCAGAATGAAGTAGAGGTAAATCTCGAGCAATGATTGCATCCTCGCATCGCCAGGTTCAATCAGGACCTATGCAGAGGTCATATCGATTAATCATCTATATCCCCATCCATAGTATCCCTGTTGGTTCCAGTCTCCGCCACGGTGTGAATAAGATTTTCCACCTTTTCCTTGGTCTTTTCCACCCTTCTTTGGCGGGGTCACTGGAGCTTGTTTTGGCGGAGGAGCGGTTTCAACTGTTCTCCATGTTGCTGATGATGATGCTTTCGCTTTTGACACCCTGCCCAGTGCTGGTGCGGCTTTCGGGGCTGCTTTCGACTTGCCAGCGGCTGGGTTAGCACGTTCACGATCAGCAGGAGTTGGGGTATCAGCAATCGCAAGTATGTGAGCTTCTGACATGTGGATTCCCCACCTTGGTCGTTGATCGTCCCGTTGCTTGATGTGGTTGTAGTCATCGATTGCATCATATAGCTTCTGGAGTAGAGGTCGTGGCAATTGTCGGCCATTTTGAAGGATCAGGTGTAAAAGTGATATTCTTCGAAGTGGTGGACGAAGAGCACACACAATGTCAACTGGGTTCAGTGTGATTGTGTCTTGAAAGTCGACGTTCCTGAAGAAATAAACAGCATTCACCCTATATGCACCTGCAATGATTCTTCTGACCATGACGTCTTGTCGGTCAAGGGCTTCGCGAGCAGCTGTGGTCTTTCTCATCTCATCCATTGTTGTGTCACGTTTCGACAGCTTCTCCATCTCTTCATCAAAGAAGATATTCTGCAAGTCATCATACGTGTAGCCACATTCAAGGGTATATATGAGAAGTCTTTTGAGTACCACTGCCCCATAGTATGCATTGACGAATCCCTCTTCTCCGATGTCGTCCTTTTGATTTGGTCGGCCGATCTCTTTGTAGAGCTCTTTCATCTGTTGTGCAGTTGGTTCAATGAGTTCACCATTTTCATCCTCGCCTAGGTAAGCGTTCTTGAGTCCAGGTCCATCCTGAATTTCTGGTTCTGTTGAAAATGTTTCCATGCCGTCTCGATGTCTCCACAGAAGTTCCGTTGGAATAGTCTGTAGATCCTGACGATATGTAATCCAATCTGCAACAGGAGGATTTTGATGAGCTCTGGCTGAGCATCTCCAATTGTGCAAGGCTCGATTGGTAGGACCTTTGATCCAAACTCAATCCGCTTCATCCACTTGGGGAACTCAATCACTGCGTCACGAGCTTCTCCAGCCTCGTACTCTTCAATGTTGATTTCATCGACCGCTATCTCTTCATCGTCGTTCTCGTCGGTCGGTTTTCCTTCTTGATTGAGAAATTTGTCGACCTCATCTTGTTCTCTGAAGTCTCTTTTCTCATCATTGATGTCGCCCTTCTTCGAGGCTTGATCATCATCTCCTTCTTCTGGTTGAGTTTCTTGTTCTGGACTCTTCATGGTGACGTCATCATCATCTGGCATCACCTCGTCGTCATCACCATCACCTGTCAAATCGATCTTCACCTCCTCCCATGCTTTCTTGACATGGTCTTTGAGATCTTCTTCTCGATGATGTGATTCGGCACTTGGTACTGTAGCCACGGTGATCTTGATTCGCTTCCTCCATCCATGACTCACCAAAAATCCTTTGCACATCACACAAATCGATAGTGGTGCAGGGGTCTCCATCAGACATGCGGGGCATAGTCGATGGTCCTCTTTGCTGGGATGATGAGTGACTGCTAACAATGATATTGCATCATTCCAATCCGGATGTCCAGGGAACAATCTGTGAGTATGACTGAAGTGACCGGTCCTGATATCGACAAGTTTTCGAAGTTCGTCCAGATCGGGTGATGATTCTTCAGGCACAATGTTCCCAATGAGCTTGTCAAATCGTTCAATGGTGGCCACCCTCTTTGCTCCTTGCACAGAAAGTACAAGTTGATCTCTCCCCTTTGTGATCATGAGACGATAGTAGTCCTTTTCCCTCCAGTCGTAATACCAAACTGCATCGAATGATTCGAATGGAATTGTTTCTTGGACCAAAATGTGTCCGTCTGCTGATAATCGAGGGGAGAACTTGGCGATGGAATCGTACGTGATGTAGATGTAGACAAGATCAGTTTGATCAATCTTCCTGAATCTCAGCACCATCTGACTTCTCACGTCCCACGGTGCGAATGGCACGAAGAACGTATTGATGCGGTCGCCTCCTCCTCCGGGACGTAGTCCTTCTCTGAAGATTTGAGCGATGTTGTCAAAAGTGGTGCAATGAAATCCTCCTCCAAGAGTGTATCCTACTCCAGGATTCATCTGATAGGAAGTCTTCTTGTCTTCGATGTGCACACCGCCTTGAACTCTTGAATGTGCCATAGGGGCACAGATTGCCACCGGCCAAAGCCAAATCTCTCGATCTGCTGTGCCGATCTCCAACCTCAGTGTTTGTCGATCAAGTCTCGAGGTCAATCCATCATTGAAGTTGCTCATGACGTATTCCAACTCACCTTTTGTGACCTTGAGTCCTAGCACTTGGGCTCGGATTCTCTTCGTTTGCTTGTACTCAGTGAAGATCACTCTCTGGAAATTGTTCCACCTCTCAACAAGTATCGGGTAGTTGACATGGGTCGTTCCAGCCAATGTATGTTGGTCTCTCCAAATGGCGTCGTACTTCAAGATCGACTCAACATTGACCCAACCTGCCTCATCGCATGGTAGTCCACGGTGATTTCGATTGTCTTTGACGCAACCCACGGAGTGGCGTAGCGCTGCATTGAATCTTTTCGACAATTCGACTATCCATTGCGGATTTTCCCACTTGTTGCCCATCCACTCATTCTCGCCATATCGATGTACTTTACACCAGCCCATTCCAAGATATTCTTCTCCATTGATGCGAGCAAGTTGAAGTGTACCGATGTTGTGGCCATGTGTGAATGGTTGGATGTACTTGAAGTTCCAGTTGTTTCCATGTTGTTTTCTTTCCTCAGTAAGCCATTTCATGTATTCATCATGATCAATGTGTTTCCAAGCGTTCAGCTCCTCAATGGTCGGCAAGACAGGCGGGGATTCCTCAGCCGCACGCTCAATCAGCATATCAAGCTCATGACGATTCTTCACACCTCGGCTAATTGGGTTGACTTCGACACCATTCACTAAGTATTGTCCTCCTTCTTCACGATCACCAATGTCGTACATAAAGGCTGACTGACTGTAGAAGCACTTGGTCACTTCCTCTTTCTCAGTGAATCTGGTTCTTCCCCAACGCTTTCCTCGTGGCATGACGTTCTTTGGGAGCTTGTCTTTTCTGCCTCTGGTTGCAGCTTTGGATCTTTCGGATGATGATGGGGATTTGGACTTCTGATCCATGATCAATCTCATGCGCCATAGGGTGTCTTTCATGTTCTCATCATCTGGTGTAGTACATTCATCAATGTCATGCCTTCCACCACAAATGAAACAATATTGAACATTTGATGCATCTGCAATCAGCTTCTCAAATCGATCGCGGATGTCCCGCACCTCAGTTCGGCGCTTCTTCGCTTCTGAAGGTTGGCCCCCCACGTCATCTTCCTCCTCCTCAATCTCGATGTCACCAGCTCCGGCATCGGTTTCTCC